TCCCACACCAATCTCACGCGTGGCGATGTCTGTCCGACGGTGCGTGACGTCTTATTTAGTTATTGTTATTTTCGAGCGTCGATTCGCCCGTTCCGTGCGAGTGTATGCGTCGCGCTGTAGTTGCAGTTTTCACAATTTACTTGTGGTAGGTACGTTCAGTGACGCAGCAGTTAGCGCCTAACATAGACTCTGGCCTCGGCGAGTGCAACAATTTCTTTTGCTCGTAATTAACAATTCAAATGCGGCCATTTTTCCGCTCGCCTCGGACACTTTCGAGCGGCCCCGACGTCCGTCCGCGACGGCGGCTCGAATGCAAATGAGCATCGATTCGCCGTGTGACGTCCGACGCGCCCTTCTCACCCCTTTCTTTTCCAACTACCCGCTTGATTTACAATCCCGGATACGCATACCCCATTCGATATGTATGCACGGTGGTAATTTACCAGCGTACTTTTTAACTGTCACAGTGACACGTTTATTTAGGGCGCCGCCTTTACTTTCCAAAGGCTCTGAATATTCATACGACATTAGCAATCAATAACGGCCACAATAGCATAGTTTTCGCGTGCACGCACGCAACACAAGGCGGTGTAAACAAATAATTTCACCGCTTTTTATGGCGCCGGTGCGTTATAAATGTAAAGGTGGCGACGATAACGAGCGGAGGTGTGCTCGCCGGATGAAATGACGTTTCGACATGATCGCAAAGTGGAAACGTATCCAAACGGGCCCCGCGGACGAACAGCTCTCGTTCGTGCTGAAGTAGAAAGAGTGGAAAAAACGGTAACAGAGCTATATTCCTTCTCAGAGGCACCGGTCCGCCAAGCGAAACTTCCGTGACCGGACGGCATTAATTGAGTGCGTTGTTTGCTTCGAATATCCATCAAAAGTGCACGTCGTAACGGCCACGATAGAGGCCGATGGTATCGCTCCACACTTTACAGCTCGAAGATAGGAAAGGCGAAAGAAAGATCGATCGGCGACGCGCCACTCGAGTGCCGCCATGTCGCGGCAGGCGTTCTTACAAAATGGCGCGCGTCGATAGCGACGTTGGTACGACGCAACAACAACCTTAGCGTCACTTTTTTGACAATATTCCGAGGCACGTTTCGGTAATTGTCCTCGTGCCGTATACGGAATAACAAAACGCCTGTCAGAAGATCAAAGGCAGTAATAGACGTGTGTGGAAATTTATCGACGGTTTGTGTATCGAGTGAATTTGGAATATACTAATTGGATATCAGCGCCGGTGGCTACGTTGCGAAAGACACGACCGAAATTTTAATACGCCACCAGCTCTCATGGGCGCAGCTGTTTATTTTTAAAACACGACGACCCCCCCCCCCCCCGCGCGGCCAGAAACCTATTCGATAGGAATCAGTGGCGATGTCATATAGAAGAAAGTCTTGCGTTAATCCTAATAGTTTATCGACAGATACCATCTGGATACATCCAATGGAAAAACTGTTATTTTTATTTATGCTGATGGCAATTATGATTCGCGATAAAACACGCGCAGCATATGTTATTAGAAACGAATGCGGGACGTTCAAAGAGCGACAACTTTTTTTTTTCTATCGCAATACCCATAAAATTATTCTTGTTCAGCTTGATTGATTGTTATATTCAACTTTATTATTATACAGAGCGCGTATTCGCGGACGGGGTTAGTCATCCCACCGTACGTTTTTTAAGCAGGAAATTCAGAAAACCGTAGCCCGTCTTCGCTAACAAAATGAGTATATAACAAGACAGCACCTCAGCACTAAGAACACCTCAGAACTGAAGACATTATAAAAAAAGATATGAATAATCATAAGTGAAATGGTCAATTCCTACACGATATATTGAAACTATTAAAAAACCAAATGACCAATTAGGCGGACGTTAAGATGCGAGACGCGGCAATTATGGAACCGAATCACGTATATAGAGTTATTGTCTAACATTTATGACCTCAGGCCCGTGAACATTATGGTCATGTAGCGATACAATCAGCGGTTCCGTGACGGCCGTTTTTATAAATTTATTTGGATCACGTCCTTAGTCATAAGTCGTTAAGTCTTTGAATGGTGATCTTACAAAAAAGTATCGTGTGTACAAGTAGAAAAAAAACGTGGCGTATGGTGGAACACGGCTGTGTTGTTTGCATACCTAACGATTATCAATGTGGAACGTGAGAAAAGGGAATCTATTACAAAATTTCATATATTCTAGTAGACGTGATAGCTCAGTGTCTGGGCGCACGCTTTTAATTCAATATACTTGAGCTTTCACGGTGGTAGGGCCACGCAGCAGCCTCGGCTGTTGCACGGATGGGCAGGCTCGTCCGGGTAAGTAACACGACCTCACAGAAGACTGGGGTAAAGTGGAAGTATAATACTTTCGCATTTCGTCTGGTGAGTGACCTCACTCCGGGAAAATTGGGCTTAAAAAACTTGAAAATTGGGAAATTTTCAAAAGGTTGTCAACGTATCTAGATCCCTCGGGTGTAGTAGATGTCCATGGGCGGCGGTATTCACTTAACATCAGATGAGCCGTCTGCTCGCTTGGCAACTTTTCACATAAAAAAAAAACGACCCAAAGTGAGTTACCGATGAAACTGTTAATTTTAAGTGCTGACTTATGACGTGCTCGTGGGAAAGAAAACATCGTGAGGAAACCAGCAATCATATGGATGTTGTCTCTGAAATGAGCTGACGTGGCGGTCGTTGAACGAAAAGCTAAAAAGACCGGAATCCAGACTTAATAGGACGCGTAACTAGCTTAACGCTACGCGTAGGCGCGAAATGGCGAAAAGACGAGGCGTTTCCGCAAATAGCTCGCTCTAATGCATCCTGCAAATAACTGATTAAGGCCGCTATTGAGCTATTAGAAATTCTTCATTGTTCCCTCACGTTGAACGCTACTCTTTGTGTTTATGTTCGTCAATAAACTTGCGTGTAACCTTTCGAATGAGCGGATAAGTTTTTGCACTTTTCAATTCCGATATGAAAAGTTCAAAAGCGCTTCTTATAAGCAACGCCAATACGACGCTTTAATTGTCCGCGCCGCGTGTATTATTTAAAAACACTGCTAGTGTTTTATGATTAATAAAAAGTATGTAATTAAGAAGTGTAGGAAAACACTCAGCCATTAAAAAACATAAAATTCCATCCATAATAATATCATGGCTGCTGTTATTTTACTGTTGAACGGCGAAATTGAATAGTCTTTGGTTAAAGTCAATTCTGAAGAATATCTACTATTTTTTTTTCCTTTGATCCTATGTTGTTTTGGTTGTCGATGTGATTTTCTAAAAAAAAAACAACTGAAATCAATTCAGTTTTTCATCCTTTCGCCGCTGAATAACCGCCGTTGGAAGCTCTTTGCGCGGCCGTCACTGTAAATATTTTCAGTGAGCCAGTGACAGGATGCGTGCGGTCCCCGAACAACACGGGAGACAGCTGTATTGTTCCGTTTAGCACCGCTTATTCACAAAGACTCCTCGCCGACTTAATGCGAATTGACGGTTTCATTTCACAACGAATGAAATGCATCTCGCTTCGATTGTTAAGGCACGAAACGACGCGGCGGCCGCGACGCATTGTGCATTTTATTGGCTATCAACGAAGGCGCGTTATCCCTTCCCGTGCGGGGGATCTAAAAGAAACGCCAGAAACGCGATCGAGGGACACGCTGTCGGTTTCGAAATAAAATTTAAGAACGCAATTAAGCCTTTGTGAGCGTTGAAAGTTAATACGTCGCGTCGCCGCGTTCCCGTTGCAACGCGGCCGCAGAGTAAATATTGTTTTTCCAAAAAAGCGCGCGAAAGTGCGAACGACTGTCATTTGTTTCGTCGAAAACGCGATATCGACGCAAACGGGACGTTCGACGCATTTCAAAACGAACGGTCGCGCTTACTCATGGTGACAGGCCGATCGCATGAACACTTTCGTGATTTTTTTTTATTTTCTTTAGTATCAAAACAAGCTTAAGTGTAGTACACTATTTCTCTGGTCAATCCTTTGCAGTGCATATGTAATTCGGACAATACGTGAAAACTAATAGTAGCAGTTTTGCTGTTGTTGTTGTTTTAGATATAGTAGCAAAAAATTGAAATCGCTATTTCACAAAAATATATAATATATTTGCGTAAATTTAATTTAATACGTATTTTTTGTTGCAACAGTTTTAAAAACAATAGACTAACAACGAGAAAGCACACAGCAAGCTCGTGTCCTGACCACAATGACAGGTTTAAAATTGGCCTCAAGGTAAAGGCCTTTAAATCGTGCGATGAGCACATAACGAGCACTTTATCACCATTAAATTCTAAAGCATGTAAAATTAATTACACGTCTTAATTAGAATAATGTACTACATCTATCAGAATCTAAATTGTGGCGTTTCATTGTGAAACCAGAGACAATATGTTGACAGAATGAAAGACCGCAATATGGCATATGATTTTGGCGCGTAACTCCATTTGTTTATGGTCGCTCGCGCCGTTTTAGGAACAGCTTAGGCGTCGAGTGTGCGCCCTCATTCAGTGATTATCTCGAATGCGCCATACGTCGCACTGTTGTTTTAATGACCTCGCTAATTTCAATTGTACCAAATATAACTTCTGTATTTATCACTTGGCAAGAGTCTTTGCGGTTCATGCGGCGGCGCCACGAACTATGTACCGATGCGCGACACATTTTAAACGCAATTAAAATCGCTCAAGCGATTCAATGTTACAAATGGCCGCTAGAATGCATTACCGACGGAATTTTTTAATAGATGACCACTGTAAATCTGTCTAAATAACGCATTAGATGCATCATCATTGTCTATAATATATAACAGCGCTATTCTATTTGTCTATTACTACTTAAAATTACGTTACTCGTACTTCGAAGTATGGTCATAATTTTATTTTTTAAATAATACATATTATTACCAACTAAAACATTACCAACTTTTAGCCCTCTGTCATATTTAGTAATCTTCATTTTTACTTCTTTTACTTTCAGTCGGGACAAAAGATGGCACAGTGGGACCGAACTTCGGTAGACCCGAGAGCGAAGGCGACGAGCGTCTCGCCCACATCCTCAATGAGGCTTCGCACATGATGAAAACACCAGGCCAGGTCAACAACGATGACTCCAGGAGCAATGATGACTCTTGCTCGCCGCGCACCCAGTGCCCCTCCCCATTTTCTAATAAGGTGATTGTCGTGCAAAGGAATAAACATTCCCCAAAAAGTATATCATTAGCTGATAAAATGATGAATGTATATATTTGTATATGGTAAGAAGACCTTTTGTATCACTTTCAGGATTCAAGTCAGAACAGACGATTGAAGAAATACGAAAATGATGACATTCCACAAGAGAAGGTTGTGCGTATTTATCAAGAGGAGCTGGCCAAGATAATGACAAGGCGAGTCGAAGACATGCGGCACAACCGTGAAGGTTTCCCTGGGTAATTATTTTCATTCATTTGTGTAAATATTTCACAGGCTTTTCAGGACCTCATGCTATAAATTAATTATATTGAATTGTTAAAGATTTCAAATGCCTTAAAATGATCGTGAAACCAATGTCGTATTATAAATGAGAACAGCAAATCTAAAACTGACGTGTAGCATGTTTCCCCCATTTCTCAGCGCCGGCATGCCCCCTCACATGGAGCGGCCGCCGGAGGACATCCGGATGGCGCTCGAGGCTTACCACAGGGAGCTGGCCAAGATGCAACCTGGGACCAACATGCCCAACATCCACAGCCTGCCCGCCATGCCGCCCTTCCCCAACCTGCTCGCCCTGCAACAGCAGGCGATGCAGGCGAACCAGCACATGAACGGCTCGGGCGCGGTGCAGGACCTCTCGCTGCCCAAAGACAAGGGCGCCAAAATCAACGGGATAACTGATAGCGATAAGGACAAACCGATGGACGCGGAGGAGGCGATACGGCACGCGGGCAGCGCCTTCTCCCTGGTGCGGCCGAAGCTGGAGCCCGGCCAGCAGTCCACCGGCTCGTCGGCCTCCAGCCCGCTGGGGAACGCGATCCTGCCGCCGGCGATAACGCCCAACGAGGACTTTGGCGGCTCCGCGGCGGCGAGCCCCCTGCAACGGATGGCGTCCATAACCAACAGCCTCATCTCCCAACCGTCGAACCCCCCGCACCATCCGCCGCCGCAGAGGTCGATGAAGGCGGTGCTCCCGCCCATCACGCAGCAGCAGTTCGATCTCTTCAACAATCTGAACACGGAGGACATCGTCCGGAGAGTGAAGGAGGCCTTAAGCCAGTACTCGATCAGCCAAAGGCTCTTCGGTGAGTCGGTGTTAGGGCTGTCCCAAGGCTCCGTGAGCGACTTGTTGGCGAGACCGAAGCCGTGGCACATGCTGACGCAGAAGGGCAGGGAGCCCTTCATCCGCATGAAAATGTTCCTGGAGGATGACAACGCGGTCCACAAACTGGTCGCGTCGCAGTACAAAATTGCACCGGAGAAGCTGATGAGGACCGGAAACTACAGCGGAGCACCTCGTGAGTATATCAGCTACTTAATTCCCACACCAAACATAAGCTTTTTTATTAGAATCGTTTTTAAGCTATTTTCCCCAATCCTTAGTCTAAAGACTCTCTCTCTCATCTGTTGCAGCATGTCCGCCGAACATGAACAAGCCAATGCCGCCTACACAGAAAGATGATCTCAGACGCCACCTCCTTGCTGAGCAAGATGCAACAGGAGCAACTCCTCAGTTCTGGCCACCTGGGCCACTTGGGCCAGCCCACGCCCCTCCTGTTAACGCCGCCCGGCTTCCCCCCGCACCACGCCGTCACTCTACCCCCCCAGCACCACGACAATAACAAGGAGAGAAAACCGCCTCCCCCTCCCCAACCGCTACACCAGCCGCCGGTCATGAGGGGAATGCATCAGCACATCTCGCCGAGCGTTTACGAAATGGCCGCCCTAACGCAGGACTTGGATACGCAGACGATCACGACTAAGATCAAGGAGGCCCTGTTGGCGAACAACATCGGCCAGAAGATATTCGGCGAGGCCGTGCTCGGGCTGTCGCAGGGCTCCGTCAGCGAGCTGCTGTCGAAGCCGAAGCCGTGGCACATGCTCAGCATCAAGGGCCGCGAGCCGTTCATACGGATGCAGCTGTGGCTGAGCGACGCGCATAACATCGACCGCCTCCAGGCGCTCAAGAACGAGAGACGCGAGGCCAACAAGAGGCGGCGGTCGAGCGGGCCCGGCCAGGACAACTCCTCCGACACCTCGTCGAATGACACGTCCGAGTTCTACCACTCGAGCTCGCCGGGCCCGACGTCCGGGGTGCCGTCCGCCAAAAAGCAGAGGGTGCTCTTCTCCGAGGAGCAGAAGGAGGCGTTGCGGCTGGCGTTCGCCTTGGACCCGTACCCCAACATGCCCACGATAGAGTTCCTGGCGGCGGAGCTCGGCCTGTCCACGAGGACCATCACCAACTGGTTCCACAACCACCGCATGCGGCTGAAGCAGCAGGCGCCGCACGGGCTGCCCGCAGAGCCGCCCGCGCGCGACCAGGCCGCGGCGCCCTTCGACCCGGTGCAGTTCCGGCTGCTGCTCAACCAGCGGCTGCTGGAGCTGCAGAAGGAGCGGATGGGCCTGGCGGGCGTGCCGCTGCCCTACCCGCCGTACTTCGCGGCCAACTCCAACTTCGCCGCGCTCCTCGGCCGGGGGCTGCTGCCGCCCGAGGGGCGGGCGAAGGACCCGGCCGGCGGGCTCGACCTCTCGATGCCCCTCAAGCGGGAGCCCGACGGCGACGACTTCGAGGACGACGACGCGGAGAGCAACCTCGGCTCCGAGGACTCGCTGGACGAGGAGTCGAAGAGCGAGCCCAAGGCGGCGTCCACGCCGGCGGGCAGGTCCAGCCGGAGGAAGCCCGCGGCGCCGCAGTGGGTCAACCCCGACTGGCAGGACGAGCGGCCGCGCAACCCGGACGAGGTGATCATCAACGGCGTGTGCGTGATGCGGGGCGACGACTTCCGCCGGGGCGCCGAGGAGACGGTGCGCGTGGAGCCCTCGCCGGTGGCGCGCGAGCCCTCGCCCGCCTCGCCCGCGCCCCGCGCGCCCCCCTCGCCCGCCTCGCCCGCCTCGCCCGCCCTGCTGCCGGGGGACAAGATCAAGGCGGAGGCGGACGACGACCGCTGGGAGTACTAGTGGGACCGTGCGTTTGGGGCTGGAGCTGGTCCGCGGGTGAGTCAGTGCCCCGCCGGCGACGTCCGACTAGTTGAATGTGTCTCGTCATGACTCGATCGTAAGGCCAAAGACTCTGTATATACCCTCAGTTAGCTTCAAGTGATAATGCCAGGCATACGTCCCGATCGGACGGGGGGAACCCGCGATACAAAAGAACGTGCATTTTGCTTTAATTATTATTTTTATTTTATTTTTTTACAAAAAACCGTACCCTGATTCGGTACAAATATCTGAGTATTTTTAAGTTACGGCTTACGTTTTTCAATTCGATTATTGTAAATAATTATACCAAATATGTTCGAACGTCGCCTGTGAATCTGTATATAGGTAGGTAGTAATAGTATCACTTTGTATCGTGTTAGGGACTCGTTGCCTATAACTAGGGGTAGGGAGGTTCATTAATTGTTAAATAAATTTTAAAGTGCAATCAGATGTAAATTATAAGCTATGGTCTAAACTGAACCCCAGTTGAAAAGTATTATTATGTTTATATGAACCGGTGAGGTTTAAAATATTATAATTGGGTTATATAAGTTTTACATTTAAATTATGAATGTTTATTTTATACTATTGTATGTTTTTCTATGGATTATTTTATATGTACACGGGACCGCTCAAGTTTATGATTTTTGACAGTTAAATGTCAGATTTACTTTCCATAGACAATCAACACTAACACAACCTTTCGTTCGACCGTTCTCAGCGTCACCAAAACAGCGCTATTGATTTTATATATTTTTAGAGAATGTACAAATCTAGAAGCAAGAAACACTACGATTAAGCAAATAATGTATTGCTTGTGGTTATAGTTTTATTTTATTTTTAGCAATAAACTTGCTTTTATTCTAATTTTGATTTTTCTGTTGTTTTATTTTCTGTTTCGTTTCCTTTTTTTTTTGTCCTTTTCTTTATTCTTTTTTATTAGTGAATAATGAACTTTGAAAGTGTATATTTTAAGAGGAACCGTACTCCTTGCATCACGATGTGTACATAAATAGAGATTGGGTTATTGATGTAAATAAAATGCCATTTTTAGGTAGAGAATAGGAGTTAGAACACTCGAGAGTTTAAGTATTAAAGGATTAATTCATGAATAATCAAAATTTATTGCCATTATTGAATTCATCGAATGAGGCGTGTGTAACTGTCATCGATACAGATATGACAGTCCCATTGTTTCGATGCAAAATTGGGACGAGGCGGGATGTTTTTAACTTTCGAATTTTCAATTAGACGACGTAAAAAAAACTTTTAAACAACTTTCAGTTTTAGGTCTACCGAACACCATACATATCGATGTTAATAAAAAGAAATGTAAACGAATAAGACGTAGTGTAAGAATTAGTAATAATAGTCAATACTACAAGACATTAGGCTGTTTAACAGTTTTTAAAATATTCATTTATTAAATAAACCTCGAGTGAGGAGATCTTTCAGTTTTTTAAGTATCCATTGCTTTCGTCTACGTTCTTTCGACTTCGAGCTTTTGCTTTTTGAGAGTATTATATGAATATTATTGTTGTTATTAAGTGGTTACCGAGAATATTTTTGGAGATCTTTAGGATATTAACTTTCTTTACAGTTATATAATTAGTTATTTATAATTATAATTAACGATTTCAATGTCTGCGGTAATGAGAATTAGTAATATAATGAAAAGAAGTAGGAACATGACTTTAGTTAAGAAGTATTTGCATATAAGTGCCTCAGTGTAACAAATGATTATTGTATACGTTTTAAGAAACGTTGATTTATGTCGGTTTAAGAACCGAATATTCGTTGTGTGCTAGAAAAAAAATATTTAAAGAAAATAGACTTATGTGTTGATACCATAATCTTATCAATCATTCGTGTTTTGATCCAATTTTTCATTCGATCACAATTATTTTTAATGTTTAACACAATGCTGTTTACAGAAAGCGTTCGCAACGACTACATCGGACCCTTAGATCACGTAGAATGAGTATAGCGGAATTTATAATCTGTTGTACTTAATAAAACAACCGATGTATAATAAAATATTGAATTTATTTGTCCAATCACTGATGACCCGTTTCGTTTTGTCAATTTGGAGCTCACTCCAAAATATTCGAGGTAACCTAGAAATTATACGCCATCATGTATTTTATAGTTCTGTTGACGTTGGCAGTTGTAGTGAATGCAGTGTAAATATGAACGTAGCGTATAGACGATTATCGTACGTTATCTCCATTATATTATAAAAAAATAGTAATTAAAATTATTATAGCGATAATTATTATTGTTCATATCATAATATTAATAATAATGATGCTGAAACCATTGTCTTCTTTCTGAACAATTTCTAAAGTTATTAAATTAAAAATAAAGAAATTGCTAATCTGCACTTGTTTCATTTCATTTCTCTTACAGGTATTTATTAGGAGGATAATTAAAGTGGCCGAAGTAGATAAAAACGTTATAAATCAATGCATACAAAACAATTATATCATAGATCCCAATTTAGCTGAGATTTAGACCGGAAACAATTTTTGAGACATCAGATTTCTCAATTTTTTTTTTGTCTCTGTCAACTTTAAACCTTACCAAATACCATCACATTTGAATACATAAAGGGGAAAGAGAAGATAAAATGTGAAGAGAGCTCTAAACTAAGTACTGTTGTTGGAAAATGATATCTCCCACTATATTTTATTGATATCTATAATTAATTCTCCATGTTTAAATTAACATTTTATAACTGAAGCCACACGAGTTTACAGACGGATGTTTTCAAATACGTATAGACGTCTTATATAAAAAGTTAATCTCTAAAAGAGGTATATATTTTGCTTACGTATTTTTAAAAGACTTTTAGCGACAACAATTAATCTTTTATCTGATATAGAACAGATAAAAGTCCATAAAGAAGAAGATGGAAATAAAGTAGGCGCCTCATTTGATATTAGGTGGTTACCTCAAAAAGAATCAACTTCTGTTTAGGTTCTCCTGAGGAGTTGAAGCAGAGTTACCAAAGCTTCTACTAAGGTGGGCCGCGGTTACCTCAAAATTAGGACTATAGTATTGTTACACTCCGCCGGTCTTCTGAGAGACTATGATACCTCCCCCGATGTCGAAGTACGTATTTATCCTTGCAATAAAAGAAGCCGTTCCAGCGACGTTGAAAATTAATTAACGTAAATATCAAATCGATTTCGATGATTCATCAAATAAAATATCAAAGGGAAAATAATTATGCCATGCATTTCCATCTAAAAAGTCCAAAGAAAAAAAAACCTTAAAGAAAATAACATTTTTTTTATATAGTTCAAATTGACATAAATAATATAAAATATGTTAAATTCTAACATTCACGAATCTTTGGCGATGCACGGGTTTCAATTCAATTTAATCAAGAGATATGACCATTTATGTCAAATATTTTAATGCTGACTAACAGTTTTATCCAAACCTTTAGGACAGATACCATTAACCTACAATCTTGAAATTTGGCTAGAATCCAAGTTTTGGGGTACCAGTAAAAGAAATAATTTGGAAGTTGTTATTTATAATGATTGTTGTATAAGATGAACCGGCGTGAAGTGGAAGTTTTACGCTTCTGTGTTTCGTCTGATGAGTGAGGTAGCCGGGGCAAATTTAATAAGTATTTATAAGTATTTATCATCCCTATAAGAGTATGACTGTGGTAGAACCATGCGACACTGTTCACTGTTGGACCTGAATGGACAGGTCCGTCCGGGTAAGTATCACGACATCACAGAAGACCGGCGGAAAGTAGAAATGTTACACTTCTGCCTTTCGCCTGGTGAGTGATGTAGCCGGGGCCCACTTTATTTAATGGTGGCAACGCATATGTCCAATGGCGACGGTTATCACTTAACATCGGGTAAACCGCCAGGTTGTTTGCCACTTTCTCCCATAAAAAAGTCGTCCTTTTTTTTATTATTTTAAATCAACTATATCACTTATTTTTTTTACCTGTGCTTACATGCCTGAAACGAACATGACATAATTAATGGGAAACTTTATTAATTAATAAAGAAATTCAGCGTTTTCCTATTAAGGAAATCTAATTTTTGTGTAATTTATTATTTAGATACATAATTAGCCCTTTAGACCGTTACATGTGAACTTTACCTGTACCGAAATTCACACCACAAGACACACGGGAAAAAGCGAGACCATCTTCCAATTGCTGCGTTTTACTAGTTAATAAACATTGTTACATTTATATTAATCCAACTATAGTGCAAATGTGTATGCAGAAAATTATCACTTATAGCATAAAAAATATTTTAAATAGAGGAAATAAAAATATCATAAAGTTCGACTTTATATTTTGAATGGATAACAAATTAATTACGCATGAAATAAATTATTGTCATAAGTGCAAACAGGAATAATTTGTGAAATATAAAACAATAGCATAATTTTTTAAGGAAATAAAGGGTACATTACTATTAACATAAATAAAATTGAAAAAACAGCATTTATTAAAACTCTAATCTACCTCTTCTATAACTGGGCCCTCGTTGCCACCTTGCTGACCTTTACCACCACTAGCGTGCAATTTTTGCATAAGAGGCCCGCACACTTTGGTTACTTCCTTCATCTTGTCATCATACTCTTCCTTCTCCGCTAAAGAATTACTTTCTAACCAGCGTAAAATTTCATCGCATTTCTCCCTCGCTTTAGAGCTTTCTACATTGCTCAGTTTACTGCCTGCACCATCAATTGCTTGTTTGACGCCAAACACATACGTTTCAAGCTTGTTGCGGGCTGACACACGTTCCCTCTGTCTATCATCATCATCTTTGTACCTCTCGGCATCAGCTAGCATCCTCTCTATATCAGCTTTGGACAGCCTGCCCTTGTCGTTCTTTATGACTATATTCTTGCTTTTGCCGGTGCTATTCTCTTTGGCAGACACGTTGAGGATTCCGTTGGCGTCCAAGTCAAAGGTTACGTCGATTTGCGGCACACCACGAGGTGCAGGGGGTATTCCGGTCAAATCAAAAGTTCCCAACAAATTGTTGTCTCTGGTCATGGCTCTTTCGCCTTCGTACACTTGAATGGTAACGGCTGGTTGGTTGTCGGAGTAGGTCGTGAATGTTTGCGAATGTTTGCACGGGATCTTGGCGTTACGTTCCACAATTTTAGTCATTACACCGCCGGCCGTTTCTATCCCCAAAGATAACGGGGTTACATCGACTAATAAGACGTCACGAATTTTCGAATGGCGCTCTCCTCCTAATATGGCCGCTTGTACAGCCGCTCCATACGCCACTGCTTCATCGGGATTAATAGACAAATTCAGCTTTTTCCCGTTAAACAAGTTCTGGAGCAAATTCTGAATTTTCGGTATACGAGTCGATCCTCCAACTAAAACAATGTCATTAATTGAGCTCTTATCCATTTTAGCGTCCTTCAAAGCCTTCTCCACTGGTTCAAGAGTATTGCGAAACAGATCAGCGTTAAGTTCTTCGAAACGCGCCCTAGATATCTTCGAGAAGAAGTCGATTCCCTCGTAAAGCGCATCGATTTCGATATTCGCTTCAGTGCTGGAAGAAAGCGTTCTTTTCGCTCGTTCTGCTGCTGTGCGCAAACGACGCACCGCTCTTGGATTTGACCTTAAGTCCTTCTTATACTTTCTTTTAAATTCATCAGCAAGAAAGTTGACTAATCTGCTGTCGAAATCCTCACCACCAAGGTGAGTATCGCCGGCTGTAGATTTGACTTCAAAGAGCGAGCCCTCATCGATCGTTAGTATGGACACATCGAAAGTCCCACCACCGAGATCAAAAATAAGGACATTACGTTCCCCTTTCAAATTTTTGTCCAAACCGTACGCTAATGCAGCGGCAGTCGGCTCGTTTATGATTCGAAGCACATTCAATCCAGCGATCGCTCCAGCGTCTTTGGTAGCTTGTCTTTGAGAATCGTTAAAATAAGCAGGCACAGTTATGACAGCGTCCTTTACAGTACTACCCAAATAAGATTCGGCTATATCTTTCATTTTGGACAGCACCATGCTACTAATCTCCTCTGGAGAGAACTTTTTAATTTGGCCTTTATACTGCACTTGTATTTTTGGTTTACCACCATCGTTGATGACCTTGAATGGCCAATGTTGAATGTCTTGCTGTATTTTAGGATCATCAAATTTTCGTCCAATTAGTCGTTTTGCATCGAATATAGTATTGTCAGGATTCATAGCTACTTGATTTTTAGCAGCGTCTCCAATCAGCCGCTCGGTGCCCGTGAACGCAACGTATGAGGGCGTAGTGCGATTTCCTTGATCGTTGGCGATAATATCTACGTTTCCATGCTGCCAAACGCCGACGCACGAGTACGTAGTGCCTAAATCTATGCCGACAGCTGGCATTATTGATAATTTCTATAATTTTCAAATATTAATACGCTAATAATTTGAAGACCTTTTTCTCTTTTTAAGGTTTTTATTACATTGACAATAAATATAAGATCATTGCAACGGCCAGCATTTATTTTTATTATGTACGTTCAAGTAGCCAAGTATATACCAAGGCATTTAAATTTTATAATCATGATAAAATGCAATTATTGCATTTGACTAACATAAATTATTTGATTATTCAATAATTAAAATTGTAGTAAGTAAATATTAAGTAATTGGCAAACGTAGTAGAACTGCAACTTGTCATTTTGACATTTAAAATTTGATTTTATGTTCGTATGTTGTTTACTTATGACTTCTTAATGGTATTTAATTTATTGTGAATTGAAATTAGTTTTTGTAATACTTTATTATAAATGTGCGTACTTAAAAAGTTCTATTGAAAGATAAATATATTCTTAGTCTTTTATTTTAATGACTACGAAGCTTGAAAAAAATATAACCTAAAATTGTGTGTTTCAAATTTATTACTCTATCAAAGAAAGAACAAAATGCGATATGCACAGTTAGTTGTTGGACCTGCCGGTAGTGGGAAGGTAATTTCTTTTATTCAATTTTATCAAACTTTAAATATATATAATAATTGCGTGGTTTCTGAGACGTTTATGTACGTTTTATTAGAAGTTTATGTACGTTTCAAAATTTAATATTCCGTAACGACAGATTTACTAACTAACATTTTACGCACAAATTTCTTTCTCTGTCATTTGAAAAACAAATAGTTATAGTACTAAATTGTGGCATTATGTCGAAACTAACAAAAGTACATTAAATTTTATTTACTAAAAAGGCTGGTGTGATATTGAAAAACCAGCTATGTGACTTATATTAAAAATTATCTCACAAGGACCAAATCAATTTTTTTCCATTCAGTATTTTTATACACTTTTCAAAATATCTTAAAAAATATTTTTTTAGTCAACCTATTGTTCTACAATTGTAAAACATGCGAGCGACTCTAAAAGGATAGTGGAAGTTGTAAACTTGGATCCAGCAGCTGAGCATTTTGACTATGAACCATTGGTAGATATCAGAGAACTTATCCATCTAGATGATGCAATGGAAGACGAGGAGTTGCAGTTTGGACCAAATGGTGGACTTGTATTTTGCATTGAGTAAGTAGTGCATATTGTGCCAACTTTTTTTAACAGCATATTGTGACAATTTTGCTTGACAGAGTCCCCAGAGACACCAATGAAATAGTTAATATTTAGTGCCGACTTATCACATGCTCAGTGGTGAAGGAAAACATTGTGAGGAAACCTGCATATGTTTGAAATTACAAAAAAAATATCCCAAAGATATGTGAAGTCCACCAATCCACAGTGCGGCCATATGGTGGATTATGCCCTAATATACTATACAGATGACACCTTTGCCTAGTAGTGGGATATGTATAGGCTGAAACTTTACTTTTTTATTTTACTATCACATCTTTACCTTTGTAATTCATGCTGCATAATTCAAAGTAATAGACTGTTGTTTCTTTATTGCTTATATTTCATCATGATCATCAGCAATTGGAAGAAAACCACTGTTGAACAAATGCCTCCCTCTTAAAACACTATAATGAGACGCAGCTAGCCATTTACATCCGCCTGTTGCCCATGACTCTTAATATGTTATTTGTCAACTAATTGGCATATATTTCAACACTGTATGTTATATATATAATCAAATGTAGCAAGTAAATAATAGTGTAATTTTACAAATAGTCTAATTATTTCAAAACATTGGTAAAGATTCCCCTGGATGTTACTCATTGCCCGTTTATTGTAATATTTTGTATGTTAAACATAATATTAATAATTATCTAAAGAATAGTGACAGACATAAACTAAATACTAGAAATAAGGACAAACTAACTACACCATTGTTTCTTCTACATAAAGTAAACAGGTCATTCATGAGGCAAAGTGTGCGCATGTATAATAAAATCCCACAGTCGATATTAAGTCTGCCACTTGATGAATTTAAAGGAAAAATTAAAAGTAAACTTATGGCTAAAGCCTATTATACTATTGCCGAATATCTTGACAACGCCAATGTGTGCGGTTAATACTGTTGATACTCACATAGGCTAAAACAAGACTATTGTACCTGTACTATTATATTGTAAACTGATTTTTAAAAAAAGAGCAACTGTTGAGTTTCTTGCCGGTTTCTTCTCAACAGAAACTGCTTTCCGAACTGGCGGTAACTTACGAACGTGTTAATTTCTTTGTAAAATTTTGACATTTCATAAGAATGGACAAGCGTCTATGTGAATAAAGATATTTTATTATTATTCTTTTTATTGTCATTGGCTGAAAATTTAGAAACCCATTCTTTTTATTGTCATCAGTCGAAAATTTAGAAAGACATGAAAAGAATTTGTGGGAACATTAATGAAAAAAATAATTGCTTTGATAATCTCTCTCAATACAAATAAATGTTATCACATTAAATTCTCTCGAAAATTTAACAATAGCACTTACAATATTAATGGAGTAGATTTAGCGAAAGTAAATGAAGTAAAGGATTCAGGCATTGCTATTGACTCTCAGATGCGATTCACCAACCTCATTAACAAAACCATAAACAAATCATTAAGAATGTTAGCTTTTGTTTTCAGACATACCAAAGATTTTGTCGGTTTTAGCGTTAAAACCTCTGTATTTTGCGTTTGTTCGTAGTCATGTGGATTATTGTTCTGTCGTATGGTACCCATCTTATCAAAATAATATTCAGCGAATAAAATATCTTATATAAGTGGCATTCATCGTACAATTCACGGATACTCTGAAAGATTGGCTCATTTTCAATTGTTATCATTGGAGCAGAGTAGGAATCTGCTGTCTATAACTTTCTTCTTAATAATGAAGTGGATTGTCCTTTCCTCCTATCGCAAATTAACTTGAAGGTGCCCAGAGTTTCAACAAGGTTGTGTAATTTTCATCCCTTCAGTGTTAATTTTAATAGCAATAAGTATGTTAGCAACTCTCCTGTATGTTTTATGATGAGAAAGTACAATGACATTTTCGATAAATGAAATATAGATCTCTTTTGCGATACTCTGGGCTCCTTAAAAAAGAAATTATATCAATATTATATTCAAATTCGAGATAAAAACCTTCAATTATAAAATGGTAAGCTCTCAACGAATATTAATTGTATTGCATATAATAGTGTCTTTTTTTTTTGTTTATATTATATTTCATCATTTGTTAATTTAAAGTTTCATATGGAAATGTTGTGCATACCTTTAAGTTAAATACATATATGATAAAATTCTGTTGGTAACTGTAAATTTTTATTAATATTGTTTTTTATGTATTTAGTTGGTAAGCCTAAATAAATAAATAAATAAATAAAAATAAAATATATAGATGTAAGGTCTTCTGTTGGACTGGAGGCATTTACCTAGCATATATAGCCTGCTACTTTAATTACTTTAAATTGATAGTTGTAATATCATAAGCACTTTTTATTAATAAAAGCGTCCACTTTTAGAACATTACTAGAAAACAGCGACTGGCTAGAAGAGCAGTTGGGTGATGTGGACGATGACTACATCCTGTTTGACTGTCCAGGACAAATAGAGTTGTACACACACTTGTCCGTGATGCGGAAGATTGTGGATTTGCTGCAGGGCTGGAACTTCAGGATATGTGTTGTATTCCTCATTGATTCACAGTTCATGGTGGATGGAGCAAAATTTTTATCAGGTATCTCACCAACATTGATCCATAAATATGATATAATGTTATACATTTAATTTTTGCACCTATTATAAATTATTTTAGATCTATAAAGCAACATAATAATAAATATAATGAAATTATTTTATAAAATTAGGTAAAATTTTCGCAGTGTAAAATTTCATATTTATATAATAAAATATCCCTTCAAATAATAAAATTGCACATATTCCCTAAAAAAAAAAGCAAAGTGACAAACTTGAAATAATTTTTTATTATTTCGAAAATATGCAGGTCTCTATGATGTTTTCCTTCACCGCTGAGCACATGATAATTCAGCACTTAAAATGAACAACTTCATAGGTTGCTCAAGTATATTGAATTAAATGCGACACGTACATTCATAGTAACAACACAGACTGCTGCTGAGTTGTGATTTGGCTTAAAAAACTTTTAAACATATTGTTACGTGTTAGGGGTTCGAAGGATTTGGAGAGAAAGACCTGCTGACTCTTTTGAAGACTTTATTCACTAGAACTAGGTCCAACACAAAGCACTAGGTCCAAACACTAAGCACTAACAATGTCCTATTTTGTAGCCAAGTCGTAGGTTTCACTGGTATCGCTCTTGATCACTAGTTTTCACTCCGAAGTCGCCTCGAAGGTAGCTCAAACTGAACTGTCATTGCTCGTCTCCCTGCGGCTTTTTATATGGGCCGAGACCGGTTCCGGACTAATCCAGAAAGATCATTCCTGGAACGTACCCGACACGCACGAACATGTTCGTGATTCCGGAAAGTTCGCGAATGTACCCGGTTTTCGAGACTATAGTTCCACAGCAGTTCCTCTAACGCCATCTAGTGTTGAATAGGGGGTTTTATGTCGTCTTTGTTCTTTAGTGGTTTTAATAATTGACGCTAGAGGGCGTTAGTTCCTTTGTGTGTTCATAACACTACTCCCCTCTTAGAGATGCTCGTCCCGAGCATCATTGTTACTGCCATGGTAACGCGCCAGACGGTCTATGTGTACCACTTTGAATGTCCCTCTTGGTTGCTTTTGAATCCTATAAGTCACATCATTCAGTCGGGTAACCACTTTGTATGGACCGTCCCACTTGGTCTGCAACTTTGGGGATTTCCCTTTCCGACGAGTTGGGTTATGTAGCCACACCAGTGACCTTTCGTCGAAGCCGTTCGTGTTCGATTTCCGGTCGTATCTGGTTTTCATGTTCTCACTTGACTGTAACCCATTTTCCCGAACCAAGGCGTGTATTATATTATATTATTATTTTTTCTTAAATTGCAGACATAGTCTTGTACGGTCTCTGGTCCATCCGGTGACCCTCCTGTCAATAGGTCTACTGGTAATCGTAGTTCTCTACCGTAATTGACATACGCCGGGGTAGCTTTTATGCTCTCATGCTCGGCGGTTCGGTACGACAGAAGGAAGAGTGGTATATACTTGTCCCAATCCTTTTGTTTGTCGTCTACCAATTTCGCCAGATGCCTCTCAAGGGTCTGGTTAAATCTCTCAACCATTCCATCAGACTGTGGGTGGCACGCCGTGGTCCTCGTCTTATGCATGCCCAAAATTCTACACACTTCCTGGAATACTTGCGATTCGAAGTTCCTGCCCTGATCGGAATGGATTTCTAGAGGCACACCAAAGCGACATATCACTTCTTCGACTAACTTAGAAGCGACTGTTGTAGCTTCTTGGTTTGGTATGGCGAACACTTCGGGCCATTTGGTGAAGTAGTCCATGACGACCATAAAATACTTGTTTCCCGACTCCGTTACAGGAAATGGCCCAGCTACGTCAACTGCAATTCGTTCCCACGGTGCACCGACGTTATACAACCGCAGGTTCCCACGGCTTCTGGTCTGTGGTCCTTTTACACCAGCGCAAGTAGTACATTTGCGGCACCAGTCCTGTACATCATCTCGACAGTGCAACCAGTAGAATCGTTTTCGCACTTTTGTTAACGTCTTCTTGACACCTAGATGACCTCCTGATACGCCATCATGTATTTCACGGAGAACATCTGGTATTCTCGTTCTCGGGACAATTATCTGAAGATGGAACTCTCTGCCGTTAGTCTTCTCCCATTTCCGGTAGAGTATTCCGTTTTGAAGTATCAGACTGTCCCATTGCGCCCAGTACGCCTTTGTGACGGCACCAGTGGGAGCAACCTCACTCCAGATTGGTTTTACGCCACCCCGTTTCTTCCATGTGATGATGTGCCGAAGGTCGTCATCTCTTTCTTGAGCCTCCCTCATAGCATCATTCTCCCAGAGACCCAAAGGACTTGTTCTCGTTAGCTTAAATGTTACTTCATTAGATTCCTGTTTGACGCAATGGTTGCAGTCTTCTGAACACGGCCTTCGTGAGAGTGCGTCGGCATTCCCATGCGTCTTTCCACTGCGGTGTTCCGTCTTGAAGTCATACTCCTGGAGCTGTTCAATCCATCGAGCTACTTGACCTTCTGGGTTCTTGAATTGCAGTAGCCACTTCAAGGCTGCGTGATCAGTTCGCAGTAAAAACTGTCTGCCGATGAGATATTTGTTGAAATGTTGTAGTGTCTTTACAACAGCCAAGAGTTCTCTTCTTGTCACACAGTAGTTTCTCTCTGGCTTGGATAAAGATTTGCTGAAATATGCGATAACAACTTCTCTTTCACCCTGTTTTTGAGATAACACCCCTCCAATGGCCGTGTTGCTTGCGTCCGTGTCGACTATAAACTGACCTTCAGATTGTGGATACCCCAGGATTGGTGTTTCACATAGATGTTTCTTCAATTTCTGAAAAGAATCTTCACAAGTCCCATCCCAACTAAATTGTCGTTTATCTTCTGTCAGTCGATGTAATGGCTTGGCTATCTCTGAGAATACTTTAACAAAACGCCTGTAGTATGAGCATAGGCCGAGGAATGCTCGCACTTCGGTTTTGTCCTTAGGGGTAGGCCATTTTTGAACTGCTTCCAGTTTCTCCGGGTCTGTCTGGATTCCATCATTGGAGATAACATGGCCGAGATAGTTGACCTTGCTCCTGAATAAACGACACTTTTTCGGGTTCAACTTTAATTTGGCTCCCTCTATTTTGGCGAAAACTCGCTCCAAGTTTCGCAAATGGTCCTCGAAGTCACGGCCGACAATGATGATGTCATCTAAGTAAACTAAGCAAGCCTCTCCAACTAAGCCTGCAAGTACACACTCCATGAGTCGCTCAAATGTGGCAGGTGCGTTGCACAATCCGAAGGGCATGACGTTAAATTGCCATAAACATTTACCTGTCGAGAAAGCTGTCTTCTCCTTGTCTTTTGGATGAATTTCCACCTGCCAGTATCCAGATTTCAGGTCTAGGGTCGAGAACCATTTCATGCCACTTAAGGTATCCAAAGTGTCGTCGATTCGAGGTAACGGGTAACTGTCCTTCTTAGTGACATCATTGAGACTCCTATAGTCCACACAAAATCTCGTGCTACCATCTTTCTTCTTCACTAACACAACAGGTGAGCACCACGGACTTGTAGACGGTTCAATAATCTTATTCCTTCTCATGTCCTCCAAAAGGCCTTCAACTTCTTTTTCCTTTGCAATTGGTATCCGTCTTGCTCGTTGACGAATTGGTCTTTCGCTTCCGGTATCTATCCTGTGCTGAACCATCGAAGTTCTTCCAAGGTCCCCTTCTTGACTGGAGAAGATATTCGCGTAGCGCTGTAAAAACTTCCAAACTTCCTGTGAATAAGTCAGATTACTCTTGCAGTCATCGAGTAGCTCAGTCACTAATCCGTAGTTGTTGCTGTTTGCTGGGTCTGCGCCTGTCGTCGAACTACACTTTTTCATCCAGACAACTTCCTCCTCGCACTTTCCAATGACGTCACCTTTGTTCAAGCAGACCTCGCGATCACAGAGATTTAAAACCTTGACCACAGCGTTACTGCTTCCACTAACAAGGGTTCTTGCCGTCATCAGTTTTTGTGCCGATGTCTTGGTAGGTGTGTCTTCGATTAACACGCATCTGTTTGACTTTTTCTTTCCATTTGGCGGCAGTTTCACCAGCACCCGAGCTTCCGCTCGTCCAGGTATAATGACTTTCTTTACACATGCGACTTTCCCGCAGGCGCCTCCAAGAATGAAGATTTCTTCTTCACCACACTTGAAAACTCCGTCAGCGACATTAACTCTGCAGTTGTGTTTTCTCATGAAATCCAAACCCAAGATGCAATCATCCATTATCTCAGCCACGATGACGTTATGAGAGTATGAGGACCCCCCTACATACATCGTGACTGACATTTCTCCCAGGACGGGTATTGGCTGACCGGAGGCAGTAAGAAGCCGGCAGTTAATTCTCCTTTTGAGTCCCCTTGCGGCTTTTACCAGATTAGGATTCACTATTGTTCTAGAGGCTCTTGTGTCTAGAGTCATTTTGCAATCCGTCCCACTAATAGTACCCTGAATCACAAGACTATTCCCGCTGCATGCCTGGGAGATAACAGTTATCGGGGCCTCCTCCGCGTCAGCCAGTACTCGCCCCTTAGTACTGGCTTTTATTAGTTTCCCTGATCCCGGGCAGGGGACGAAGCCTCTCGCTTCTTCAGTTCCGCTATTTGTTCCTCGATCCATTTCATCCTTGCCATCTGGGTCTCCTTCTGCGGGCAGTTGAGCTGCAGATGGCCCCTCTCGCCGCACTTGTAACACACAGCTCCAAAACTTTTCTTTGTAGGAGCCTTAACCTCCTTGACTTCCTCAGAGACCTCACGGATCTTATGGGTCTGCCGTATGTCATGGCGAACAGCCTCGACCTCTAAAGCATGCGCCAGTTCTTCCTTTAGCGAGGTATGGTGACGAAGCCTCACTGCAGCTCTGACCTCCAGGTCTTTGATTCCGTCCACAAATGCTTGAACAATATTCGTGTCTACCATCTTGGTGTCGGCTCCTGGGTGTGCCTTCCTGACGAGTTTTTCAATTTCCAACGCCCATTGTTGTAGTCCTTCTCCTGAGCGTTGGACTCGGTCACGCAGTTGGGCACGGAACACGTGCTCCAGATTTCGCTCCCCGTATCTGGATTCAAGTGCCTCCATCAGGTCTTGGAACCCATTTCCTGTACGTGGCAGTGCTTCCAGGACCGACAAAGCTTGCCCTCTGAGCGCAACAGTGAGAGCGGTCAGGCATTGCTCTTCCGTCCATCCGTTGGCAGTAGCAACAGTCTGGAATTGCCGAAGATAAGCGTGCCAAGAAGTAGTGCCGTCGTATGGCGGCACTTTCACTTTTGGTCCTTGTGCCACTCCAGTAGTGCCACTAGACATCGCGATTCCCGTGGTTTCAAGGCGCACTACTTTCTTCTGTAGTTCGGTGAGGCCGGTTTTCACATTTTAAACATCCAAACCTAACCCGGTAACTCGTTCTTCCACTACGTCGACATCTTTTCGAAGTTTAATCACCGTGTTACTAACATCATTTATAGCCCAAAGCGCCTTTTCTTGGAGGTCTTTTTGTTGCTCTTGTGATTCTCGAACCGCTCTGATTTCAGCCTTTTGAAACTCTTGAATTGTAGTCAGCTTGCGTTCTTGTAACTCTTGCATAGCGCCGAACTTGCGTTCTTGTGACTCTTGCAAAGCGCTAATTAGTTCAATTAAACTTCCTAATTGAAGAGCCATTTCAGGGGCTGCAGAAGTTACGGTGCCTGAATGGGCGTGGCCTGGTCGGTGGGGCCAGTGGACGGGTCTTGTCCCGCAGTGGGCGCGGCTTGTCCCGCAGTGGGCGTGGCTTGTCCCGCAGTGGGCGTGGCTTGTCCCGCAGTGGGCGGGGCTTGGTCCCCAGTGGGTGTGGCCTCCGCAGCTCGTGCCCTTGTCCTGACACCCTCCTTGAAGTCCTCTCTCGGAGTTAATGGCATCTCCAAATCCCACTTCTGACACCATTTGTTACGTGTTAGGGGTTCGATGGATTTGGAGAGAAAGACCTGCTGACTCTTTTGAAGACTTTATTCACTAGAACTAGGTCCAACACAAAGCACTAGGTCCAAACACTAAGCACTAACAATGTCCTATTTTGTAGCCAAGTCGTAGGTTTCACTGGTATCGCTCTTGATCACTAGTTTTCACTCCGAAGTCGCCTCGAAGGTAGCTCAAACTGAACTGTCATTGCTCGTCTCCCTGCGGCTTTTTATATGGGCCGAGACCGGTTCCGGACTAATCCAGAAAGATCATTCCTGGAACGTACCCGACACGCACGAACATGTTCGTGATTCCGGAAAGTTCGCGAATGTACCCGGTTTTCGAGACTATAGTTCCACAGCAGTTCCTCTAACGCCATCTAGTGTTGAATAGGGGGTTTTATGTCGTCTTTGTTCTTTAGTGGTTATAATAATTGACGCTAGAGGGCGTTAGTTCCTTTGTGTGTTCATAACAATAGTTTCAAGATTTGTTTGAATTTTTTATTTTCAAATTTACAGGTACAATGGCAGCTCTCAGTGTGATGGTAAATTTGGAACTGCCCCATGTAAATGTTTTAACCAAAATGGATCTGCTAACGAAAACAGTGCGGAAGCAACTAGACAAGTAACTAATTTTTATGTTATTACTAGCTGCTGCTGCGACTACGTCTGCATAGAGGGGTGAAAATTTTGGGTTGTATGTATTTTTGTATGCTGTATCGTAAAAAAAATATTTTGTGTAAAAAAAAATTAAGGGTGGACCACCCTTAACATTCAGGGGGATGAAAAATAGATGTTGTCCGATTCTCCACTCTGGCCGATATGCACAGAAAATTTCACGAAAACCGGTCGAGCCGTTTCGGAGGAGTTCAATTACAAACACCGTGACACGAAAATTTTATATATTAGATTTCATGCGTTGACTAGTTGTTGATAGTATTGATTATGTCGAGGGTACAATTTGAAATATTAGTGGAAAGTTCAAGGTAGTTTTGATTAAATCAATTTGTTTGCAACCTTAGCTGACATATATTCTATAGGGTATGTAGATTACAAAATATATTATTTTAATATCTATTTCGAACGTTTTGAGGGAGGGTTTGAAACCCCCCTGGTCTTCTCTTCTGGCCATGCTGATGCCTTGTAGTAGTCTTACCCAAACATGAATACGAGAGAAGCCACCAAAATGTAGATTATAAATTTTCATGTGTTAAACACAGGAGGTTCAGACTCGGTAGTATAATCGTTTATTGAAATAAAAAACAAATATTAAAATGTGTAGGAAAAGTACGAAAAGATTGTCGCCGCTGTGGGAATCGAACCCACGTCTTCGGCCGTGCCGATTGGCCTACATATTTTAATATTAGTCTTAAGTGCAAAGATTAGCACTATAAAGAATTTAAATTTCTATAAAAAACAAAGTTTTTTTTTTTGCAAAAAAAATGCCATTCTATTCCCAAAAAAACAGAACGTGTTGACAATGCGGTAGTCATTCATAAATACCTAAATTTTATTGTACACTTGTGTGCGTGTTAGTTATGAATGATCACGCATAAAATAAATGAGTTCCCCATAAATCACGCACTTTTTGAGATAAGTTCAAATGAATGTAATAAATTAATTACGAATGATTTTAAATAGTTATAATTTTTTATATAACATTATTTGTCTAGAATTTAATTTAAAACAATGGATACACTTAGAAAAGCCACCCTGTACAGACAGCTCAGAAACAGGCTATCATTTAAAAAATAAATTTCAGTTACCTGGACCCCGACCCTCACATTTTGCTGTCAGACATGCGTAACGCACACTCGAAATGGCACGAGAAATACGCAAAGCTAACGGAGGCCATCGGCGAGGTCATCGAGAATTTCAGCCTGGTGCGCTTCTATCCGCTCAACATAAAGGACGAGGAGAGCATAGAGAACATCCTTATAACCATAGACAACATAATACAATACGGCGAATATGCCGACGTCAAGATAAGGGATTTCGACGAGGAAGACCCGGAAGATAATGAAAATTGTGATTAAAAATATAATTGAGTTTTTTTTTACAAAATCTTTTCGGGTAACAGTATCCTGTGTTTTACAAACATAAATTTCACGTCACACAAATAGTTGTTCCGTGTGGGAATCGAACCCACAACGCCGAAGCCACCTTGGCAACTGCGCCACGGAGTCGTCTCCAGCCACATTCAGCACTAAATTACTTGACGCTTTGGAAGCGTAGAAAAAGACAGAAATACTTTTGTCACAATTATTACTGCACTACGTCGTTATTAATGCGTACACAGCAAAGGAGTTGTCAACATGATCGAAGCCCCAATGCTGAAGCCAATAACCTTTGCAGCTGCGCCACGGAGTCATCATATTTAATTTTTTTCAAGTTAATAGTCGATTGCAGGAATTAATAAATTAAATTTGCATCGGAATGAAAGCTAATTTATACATAATTAAAAGCCATGGCATTTTCACATATTTATTTTTCTTATAAAAAGCTAACAAACTGTTACAGTATATTAATGTGTACAGTATAATAGGACCATACTTTTTAAGGATATATTTTCTACTGTGAAATAAATTTTGCAACATCATAATTACTAGTTTGTGGATATGTTATTCCAACTTCAATAACAAATAGCAAAATAACAGCTTATTATAGTATTATAGCTATCAAATTATAATTAGGATTGAAATTTTCTAAATAACCATGATGTTTAGAAATATATAACTTATAATGACACCTAAATTTTCCAGTACTAGTAATATAAAAATAATTAATACATTAAAAAAGAAATGTTTTTGTTTGTATTTGGTGAAACTGATAGAAGATTATTGCCATATCTTTAGAATTGGTTTGATTAGCAAATTTTGCCAATTTATTACATATAATAAAATATATTTCATTACACACATATTTATATTTCAAAACATTATTAACGTTTAAGCATTGAGAAAAGATTTATTCAATGAAAGTACTTTAACGATTCTATCGTGTTTCTAAAATTCAAAACGATAAGTTATTCCGTTGCTGAAATAATAACATGGGATGAATATATTGAGAAGAATATAATACACATTATGTACCTACCTAACATTAGGACAGTCATTTAGTGTTATTCATAAAACTATTAAGAGTTAATTAAATTTATACCATAAAAAATTGACGACATTCACCAGATGTCGTCAATTTTTTATGGTAAGGACAAAGCTCAAGAAACTGAATTCAAAATAAAACCTACAAAGATATTAAGGATCTGCTTTGGACCAGGCACTTGTGATTATGTAGGTCAGGGATGAGCACGCGCGGTCCGTTAAACATGTTTATGCGGCCCGCCAAGCATTTCTAAAATTTAATTCATTTTATCGAATTTCTCCCATCAATATATTGTTATAAAATTAATTACAATAAAATGGTAGTACATACTGAACCGAAATATTTTTTGTTCATTTTTCTGTTCTTTTCTTGTTTGTTTTACCTTGCATAAATATTTGTATATGAAATCTTTATTTTTTTTTAATTTTACATTTTATTGTTCTAAATTATCTAAAAAAATTTTTTAAATTAAAATTGGCCCATTGATTAAAAAGGTTGCTCACCCCTGATGTAGGTGCTTTATTTTCGTATTTTGAACATGTTCATGACAAAAAAGGCTGTTACATTATTTTTATGATGCTATTCAAATTGGCTATGGGTATGTATATAAATGTATCAATGTGCATGTTGAAAAGACCATAACCACCTTTATTTATTTCTTTTCTTTATTTGTATTAAAACATTGCCCTTTAGGATAACGTTATCCTGTGCTGTGTTACAAACATAAATTTCACGCGAACAAACAACCAGATCAGAAACAACTATCTGTGGGTCACACAAATAGTAGTCTCGTGTGGGAATCGAACCCACGACGCCCGACGCCGAAGCCAATACCTTGGCAACTGCGCCACGTCACGTCATCGAATCTTTTATATAAGTAAGTCCTAAGTCTATCACATAACTATATACATATCATTTTAAAGAACTAAAGAACGAATTAATTACGATGCTTTAACCTCATATTTGTCTAAATGACATAATCATTACCATAAAAATATGTTATGCACATTCATTATTTCCAGGCGTTTCCCAGTTTAAAAATAAATACAAAGTTTACTAGAGTAAAAGCTGACATGTGTGACACAAAAATTTATTAAAACACATCGTTTTTATTCTATTAACCAATCGAAAAATCAAAATCCAATTGATGTGGGCAACTTAAAAATATGATTTCTATGGATGCATTTGGCATAAATGGTCATTCGTTATCAATGCCAGCATCCGGATGATGGTGATGAGCGATTACTATTCAGTGTTTGCACACCGGACAGGCGTCGGTGTTCAGGCGTCGCGGTGCGGGCTGGCGATGCTGAAGACGTAGAGGCAGCAGCCGAACTGCAGCAGCGCCCCGTGCGAGAGCAGCGCTGAGCCCTCCCAGGCGCCGGGGGCGGAGGCGCCGCCCTCCGCGCAGCCGCACTCCTCCTCGGCCGCCCACGCCGGCCGCGCCGTCAGAGCGCCGTTGGCCCTGAGGACCGGCCGATATTATAGAATAAGACGTCAATACGCAACAGACAGACCGAGTCATTTTGAGAGACCCTTGTATCTTTATACTTTTAATAAAGTTACCACCGGAGCCCAATTTTCAAAAGGTTGTCAACACATCTGTAACCCTCGGGTGTAGCAGATGTCCATGGGCGGCGGTATTCACTTACCATCAGGTGAACCGTCTGCTCGTTTGGCAACTTTTCACATAAAAAAAAATTAAAAAAAAAAAACCTAATAAAAGTAAAGTGCGCAACAAACACGATCGGTCCCTGTTAACGCCTGTCACAATTAGTAGCAAACTTACGTGCATTAGAATAATTGTAATTTTATGTTCGTTAGCTTCATTTCGCATTACTCTTACGATTACGTTCTTCTATTTCTTAAATTCCGGCAATGTTCCCATAGTCCCTGTTCTGTCCGGGACTCGAACATATCCCTGCCCCTCGCCTGATCCAGTGTCAGAGGTCCATAAAGGATTTTTTCACGTTAAAAAAAAATGTGAATACGCACCTGAAGGGCTTCGGCTGGCGCCTCCGCACGAGCTCCCTGAGCGCGGCGGCCCTCGCCTCCGCCTCCTGTTGCTGCTCTCCGCCCCCGCCGCCCTCCGCCCCGCCGGGGGCGCCTTCCTCGCGGGGCGAAGCGTCGCACGTGTACAGCACCCCGTTCACCCGGCTGCCCCACTCCGAGTAGTTGATCAGCTCGAAGTGGCCCGTCACCTGTGCAAAAGCCGACGATGTATAAGACAAATCTCTCTTAGGTAAATGATAAATAGAATTGTTGTTGAGAATTTGGAAGAGTTGAGTTCGGAAAATCAATTGTGCAAAACTCGTCACTGCGGGATTCGAATTTTCTGGTTTAGCGCCCAGACGTTTACCAACTAAGCTAAGTATCCATGACCTGAAGGCATAAGTCTCTATTTACGTTTTTTTTTATATGGAATTTTGGCAATGCTTCGCACTATCTAGTGTTATGCACACTTTACAGCATACCTCACAAAGAACATTCTACGATGAAAAATTGTAACGAGAGATACGCCATTGCTACAAAAATTTTCTGTTTGATTTTAATTTTAGTTGGACTCTGAAGATCGTGGTTTCGATTCCCACACGTGACAACTATTTGTGTGACTCACTGATAACTTTTTCAGATCTGGTTGTGTGTCCACGTGAAATTTATGTATGTAAAACGTCCAACACAGGATAATATTATTCTACAGTAAGGTAGCAATGTTTTCGGTGGGAAGACTACAACATATATTTCTAAGTCGTAGTGGTTCCCGTTCTGAACAAAATAGAAAGACAGAAGCGGTGATCACCTCGTCGCAGAAGATGATGGCGTGCAGGCTGGAGGCGTGGCGGCAGTGGGGCGGCAGCGGCAGGTCGCAGCCCTCGGCGCCCACGCTGAGCGTCGACAGCCGCATCGGCACCGCGCGCCCCATCGATGCGTCGCCGCCGCGCCTGGGTTGGGTGGTAAGTCAAGTTGGCCGAGTGGGTGTCGTGGGTTCGGTGCCCACAAGGGACAAGTATTTGTGTAACCCACAGATAACCGCTTCGGATTTGGGTGCAAAACACAAGATAATGTTGTCTTACAGTAATGCCAATGTTTTAGGGTTTGTTTAGGGTTGTTATTCTAATGAAATTGACCATTGATGAGGTGCAACACTGGGCTACCTTGGTTGCTAGATTTGTTTTTATTTTGGCAATTAGAAAAGAGAAGACAATTTGGCAATCGAGCAGGGCGGTTGGTAATGTTAAGTGATTACTGTTGCCCATTACAACACTTATCGGGTTACAGATGTATTGGCAATCTATTTAAAAAACTGAGCCTCAGCTGCTTCACTCATCAGAAGAAAAGCATTAATGTTATTGAAGTATTGTTCTTCCACCACACGCCGTTTTACTGCGAGGCGATGGTACTTCCCCGGGCGAGCCGACTCAGAATAATGCAACAGCCGCAGCGAGCGTTATATAGGCGGGCGTGAGTAAGGGCTGAGGACCTGTCGGGCTTGACGGGGCAGAGCGTGGCGCGCACGGGCACGTGCGGCAGGGGCGGCGCGCGGGGGCGGCGCGCGGCGTCGGGCGCGGGCGGCGGCGGCGGCGGGGGCGGGGCGCCCCAGACGAGGCGCGCGATGCGGTCGCGGTCGGCGCGCGGCAGCAGCTCGGAGGGCAGCGCGGCGCGCCGCACGCCGAGCCGGGCCAGGCGCGCGCGGTCCACGCCGCGCAGCAGCCGCGCCGCCGCTGTCGCCTCGCCCTCGCAGCAGCCGCGCCCGCGCCAGCGGCCTGAGCGCGCCTCACCACACGCGATCTGCCCAAGGACCGCCCTTAACGCCCAGCACTAGTGCCCGCTTCCTACTTCGACTAATTCAACGAACGCCCCTTGGTTACATGGATTACAGGCGTGGACGCCCGGTTCCTGTATTAACATAACGAGGCGTTTTCCTTACGAGTTATTAGCATTCCTTTAATCTATGAGTTGTAATGAAAGTTACGATGTAACTAATGGCCGTTCGTTGAATATAAGAACCGGGCATAAGACAGCACTCTGACATAGTTAAGCACAGTAGACCCCATAGGAAGACAGAAGAGACTCTTAATTATTATAATTATAAAAGAACGATTAAGTATTTAATGCAGTCTCAATATAACCCATAAAATTTCTTTATCTTATCTTGAAATGACTTGCCTTAAGTGTATTTTCTGTCGTCATGTAAGCAACACTCCTAAAAGACATGCTTCGAGTATAATATTATTGTTATTTTGGTTTTTTTTTTCAGTAATCGTGGCAACTAGTGGCTTACACTCAATGACTCAGTTCAGTATTAATGTATACCATATATTACCTGTTGCAGCTGCTGCCAGGCGAGCAGCTTGACGAGCCGCTCGTCGAGCTTGTGCAGCTGCTGCTCGACGGCGGCGAGCAGCTCGTCCACCCCCTCGTCGCCCTTGAGCCGCAGCCGCTCGCCCTCCGACGCGCCGCCGCCCAGCCGCCGCCGCTTCGCCCGCCCGCGCACGCGCTCCAGCCCCGACCAGGACATGCCGCTCGACGAGTCGCTCGCCTCCTCCTGCGGACGCAATATTCTCATAATGTAATCAAACACCTGAGGACTCCGCGGCGCAGTTGCCGCCGGGGGTAACGGATTCGATTCTCACGCGAGGCACCAATTTGTGTGACCCGTAGATGATGTTTTGCTATTCTATGGTGAGGGTGCAACATCCTCAAAGGGAAGACTACAATAGATCTTCTAGGTTGCGGTGCTTGTTGGTAGCGCCATCTATGTATGTACATGAGGAGCTAAACGGCCCACACGCACCTCGGGCCGGGCGATGGCGTCCAGGTCTTGAGCGGCGTCGCCCTCGCTGGCGCCACGGAGGGGGCACGGGCCCTCGCCGGAGTACTGCGGGCACGCGCTGTTCATGCAGATCTGCTGCTTCTCCTCCCGCTCCTCCTCCGACTCCGAGTAGGCGCCGCCCGCCTTCAGCTTGCTCAGCACTGGAATTACAGATGATCAGGTTAAGTGGGTGTATAATTATGTAGTTTCTATATATAGATAGCTTCTCGCTGGTCCTCCTAACAGCTGTAAGTTAGCATACCAGTGAGCAATTATTCATTTAATTTAATAATAGGACTTTCATTTTTTCAAAGCTTTGTAGCATATAATTTTATATTTTGTGTGAATGGAGTTGGGTAATAAGATCCAAAGACCACTACGACCTAGAAGATCTATTATAATCTTCCCTCAGAGGACATTGCCCCATACAGTAGAATAACGTTATACTGTGTTATAAGCGAGTTTTACAAACACAAATTTCACGCGGACAACGACGCAATTATCTGTGGGTCACAAAAATGTGGGGATCGAACCCACGACCACCACTGCGTCACATCAATGTAGCGCGTGACAGTGTTGCCAGGGGGCGGGGCACCTGCGGCGCAGCGCACGTGCTCCCTTCGGCTGGGCAGCAGCGGCGGCGGGCGGCGGTAGTGCAGCCGCACCATGGCCGGCACCGCCACGCGCCCGCGCAGCCCCCCCGCTCTGAGCCTGCAACGCGAACGCCACGTCACCACCTCACCGCACCACCACCAACTCACCACCTGCCCACCTGCCCACCTGCCCACCTCGCACTCCGCTTCTGTTGTCACACGAGTGGGCAAACGGGTCCATGGTACCACTACCTCACAGAAGAATGGCGTGAGGCGGAAGTATAACGTTTTGGCGTTTCGTTTGGTGTCAGTTGCCCTGTACCAACGAAATTGTTGATTTTAGGCGCTGCGAATCACGTGCTCAACAAAGTGAAGGTAAACATCGAGCAGCAGAAACCTGCATTTTTTCTAAATAATAACAAAAACCAAATATTTCCAAGATATGTCAAGTGCGCCAATGTCCAGTGGGACAATAACACATTGTAAAAGAAATTATTTTTACGGATTTATAGAGTTTAATTGTAATTTTTATTCCTGACATTTGGAACCCTTTTCTATACCACGACTGTGTACTTGTGACAATTGTAATATAGGACGACCCCCTACTAGATGGAGTGTTAGCACTGTACAATGTACAAATGTGCGGGAAGTCGATGGATGTAGGTGGCTCAGGATCATGCCTCGTGGCAGTCTATCGGGGAGGCCTATGATCAGCGGTGGACTCAAACGGGCCGAAATGATGGTGGTGATGAAATATATGCTAACCGGAAGGCGGGGCGCGGCCTCCTAGCGCGCCTGATGAAGTCGATCTTGATGGCGTGCTGGTCCACCGGGGCCGAGAACTTGTCCCACAGCGCCACGCGCTCCGTCGCCGATATCGAGTTCACCAGCTTCCAGTCCTGGAATGCAACCGGCTCGTATGAACATCTTTTCTTTATAACCCACGGAAACGCGAAACTATAATAATACTACATAACTATGATAAATCTGTAACTTATCTTTATCTTGCGGTTAATACACAGAACGGTTTCAATTAATGTGCTCATTCATCACATGCTTAGATGTAGGTAAACACTGCGAAGAAACTTGCGTGACTAAGACAGAATTAAAATATATAAACTTTTACGTTATATCTAGTGTCAAAGTATATAGTAAGCCTTTACCCAGAAGCAACACAGCTTAGAACTTACTTAAAATATATTATAATAAGTTCATAAAGTTCCAATAAATTGGTTCAATATTCATATTTTAGGGTACTTGTACACTTACAATATATTGCTCAACATGGTTGGGGCACATCCAGCGTCCGGTAGGCAAGGCAGTTAGCGGAGGATCCAAACAATCCTGCAATATATAATTTATCATGAATACAATTTATGCAATTTAGGAATTAACCTGTCTTCTCTGTAAGACTCTAATTGTTTTGACAATTCTATTAAAAGGTGATATTCATTACTAATTTTACTGATTCATATATTTATATATACATTCGAGAAAATATGCAAAATTAACCTAATGGATGCCAGCCATACTTGTATTCATATGCGGATTTACCTTATGCGACATGGTGGAAGAGCTAACAGATCGACAGATAATAATCACTTATTCAAATTCAAATCATTTATTCATCGAAATAAGAAATATACATTTCATCTATCGATAGTCATTTTTTTTATTTACCACCGTGAACCGTCGCTTTTTTGTCATATTTTTTTTCTCATACAAAAATACATTGTCATACAGTACAAGTTAGTCTCATTGTTTTATATGTTAAAAATTGATTCACGAGTAACGTTAACGATAAGTATATTTGCACAGTAGAGAGGATCTATACAAAATCACCTAATGGCTGTAATCATTGCCTTATAAGTCTAAGCCGGCCATGCTCGTGTCCATATGCGGACGTAGGATACGCCACCTGGTGGAAGAGCAGCGGGCAGTAGTCGCACTGCAGCAGCGGCGCCGCCTTGCAGGTGCCTCTGCACACGTAGCAGGATTTCGCGGGCAGCGGCACGCAGCCCCACGCGTCCACGCTCACCACCGACGGCCCGCCGTTCTTGCTGCCCTCTGCGGACAAGTTTTTGAAGTGAAACTTCTAATGCTTCCAAACTTCCAAGAAGTTGCGTTAAGCGTTTAACGCTACCGTGGACGGGGTATGTAAGCACTGTTGCGTTAAACGTTCAACGTAGGGCCACGCAACAGTGTTCACTGTTGCACGAATGGGCAGGCCCGTCCGGTTAAGTACCACGACCTAACAGAAGACCGGCGTAAAGTATAAGTGTTACACTTCTGCGTTTCGTCTGACGAGTGAGGTAGCCGGGGCACACTTTAGTTAAAGGTGGCAACATATTTGCAACACTTCGGATGTTGCATATGTCCACGGGCGGCGGTTATCAGTTAACATCAGGTGAATCGCCAGCTCATTTGCCATATTCTCACATAAAAAAAAGATTCTGCACTGATGACAAGAAGACACTTAACATCAGGCGAACTACAAGGTTTTTTCATATAAAAAACTTGTTATGTAGCTCCTTTGATTACAACAAAAATGCCAATTGTTTTAGGAGAGTCAAATACACTACTAAAATAATATATACCTATATATGTAGATATTGGCAGAAAAATCCTATTTTAATTACATGGGTCATGCAAACCAATACTACCTAAACTGGTTTAACTTTACCGTAAACTTTACTATGTAAATATGTGAAAAATCATCAAAAAAGAAAACATTTGACATGATTTTATTGTGCTGCCACATTACAAATATTGTTATTGCTGATTTTATTGAAGTATGTTTTTACACAGAACTAATATTGTACTAGTAAAAATTATGAAACATCTCATCAGGAGGCTATGTGGCTTTTGTTGCTGCTTGAATGGATCAGTTCGACCAATGCAAAATGGAAACGCACTCACCATCAAAGCATTTTGTAGGTGTAATTTTTTTCTTCATGTGAAATTACTAATTGAATAAAGAATTCTAACAAGAAACACATACATTATAAGTAATTATTTGAAGTAAATTTCAGTAATTACTGATTTATACGCATTCATAAATTAGTTTTATTAGAATACCAATCTTTACGGTACCCTTTTCAGTTCCGGGAAATATACAAGGAATTCTCATCTCGCGAGGCAACTCAAATTGCTTGGGGTTCATAACTTTAGCCGCTTTTACAAGGATCTCCATTGGAGTTAATTCCTTCTTCTCTTCCTCCTCTTCGGTCTCTTTACCATCTTCTTTTCCCTTCTTCTTTGTGGACGAATTGGCACGACTATTTCGCAGCAACCTATAAAAACAAATTTCATATATTAATAACAGTAAATATAACTTATTTACAAGTAAAATATTAATATAACATGTAATAATTCAATGTAAAATAACTTTTATTATATTACAAATGAAGTGCCTTTACAAATAAGAATTTGCAAAGTAGATAAATAATAAAGAAATTAAATAAAAATGGAACTGTGTTCATGTATTGATGAAATGGATAGTACCATAATATTTGGCAGTTGAAATTTCTAAACCAATTTCCTTTATTTGCTATTTCAGATTTTAGCACATTTAATTTGATTTGAACTCCCAATGTTTCGAGAACATTCTAGACTTCATGGTTACACAACAAACTTTAATAATGTATAGTATTGTAGTTAATACAAGAAATTGGTATGGCTAAAATAAAATTGAAACTGGCACTCACTATTTGCAATGAAGTTGTCAATGTACACTCGATAAAATTAGGATAGGTCACCTAGTTTTCTTCTCGGTGTCAGACTTGTCTGCAGGAGACTGTGCGCGGGAGCTACGGGATGACGGCTGCCGCTCGTCGGCAGCACGACATTCTCGACACAACCAAAGCCCCGCAGGGATATCGCTTTCCTCCAATGGGGGATCACTGTAGGTCAAGTTTCACTGATAAATTGAGTATTTGTATTGGTATTCTTTATTATTGGTATTTGGTTATTCAGCACCAAACACCCTAGAATAATCTATTACAATGCATTGAGATTAAAAACTATGGTTTATATTACTGATGCTAGGTATTATTCAGTTATTTTATTTAAAACTAGCTTTTATATAGTATTAAAACCTTCCGTGAATCTTAAGGAACATACGAAAAAAAAAATTAGCCAAATTGGTCAATCAATAATAATCACAAATTACAGCTTGAATTTGTTATTGTTATTAAAATTTGACAAAAATTTAAAAATAAACGAAGTTTTACGCCACTACGGGAATCGAACCAAAGTCTTCCGCATTCACTCACAGACACTTTAACCATTAAGCTAAATGGCTGATTGCCACATTAAGGAATACATTTTTATTTTATTTACATTCAATTTTTACACACAATTTTAAGCAATGCTAAGTGCATTTATTGTTATGTCGTTTACAGCACACAAACCATTTCAAATATTGTTTTACAACAATGATTTTAATGACAGACATCACCATTGCTATTTGACATTAAAATTTTTATTGTGCTTATCTCTGCACTCTAAATGAAATATCAAAATATGTAGAAAAAATAAATACATATTATAAAAATGTAACTGATTGTTGTCTGTACATGGAAGACATTTGAGAAAAACTATTATTGGGTGCCTTTATCAAAGCAGCAGAACCCAAAACAAGGATTGTTAAAATTTTTGTCTGTTTGTCTGTGCGTTTGTGTGCGCTAATGTCAGAAACGGCTAAACTGATTTGGGTGCAACTTTCACTAATGCATTGTAATAAATTTCACTTTACATTTAGTTTTATTTAAGAACCCATTTAAATAAAACAAGTAAAAAAGTTATATCAACTTAGGGAACCACATTGAAGATTAAGAAGATAATAGCTACAGTTGAAATGGATAAACCTATAGTCAACTAAATATTATGGTCTGTAAAATGATGATGATTGTAAGCTTATATAAAGTTGTATGTATGATTGTAAGCTTATATATATTGTAAGCTTATATAAATGATGTCTGAAAAACGTCTGTTACTCTGAAAAGGACTTCCAAGAGGTACATTTTATACTTTTGTAAGTATTTTTTTATATAAAACTGTTACATATAATAGAGGATTGTTAAATAACTTACAAATTTAATTTGATAAACGGTATTATTCTCCTCACAATTTCCTCTTTAATTCTTTCCTTAAATAATTACAATTTACAATGATTTACTCTCTGAATACCTACTAATAATGTAACTACTTACAGTTGAGAAATTTAGAACCATTTCACTTTACAGGCAATTTACATACACCATTTAGGTAAAAATAATAGTATTCTTTTTAAGTGAAAAGATATCATGTGGTCATTCATCCAATGGCAAGTAATTACCATCGCCAATGGATATCTACAAATCCAGAGGGGTTGCCGATTATTATGCTCCCATAGAACTTAAAAAAGTCCCAAACAACAAAACGAAATGTGAAAGTATAATATTACCATTTCACACCCTGACTCTGGTACTTCCCCAGTTAAACCTGCACATTTATGCAACAGCTAAAGCAGCTGCGTGGCTGAGTTGTGGTAAGGCCACAACTCAATTTCATTGATATACATAACATTTTTATTTTGCATTTATAAACCTTTTCAAAACTAAGAACCATAAATAGAAGCCCTCTCGAACACTTTGCCAACAATCCATATGTCAAACTCACTAGCAGCCCAGATGAAAGCTGGCCGGGCAACGGTCACAGCAAATTAAATCTCCTCCTTCGCCACACGCGTCGCATGAATCGTGGTTATGCCCTTTCCCAGGTCTCTTATAATAGGGGTGCTGAGGCTTTTTCGGCTTTTGTGCGTTCAAATCTTCATCAGGTGGCTTAATAAGTGCCCGTATTAGCTGAAAATAATATTGATACAATTGAAGCGGTAGGGAATGTTTAAAATAAAACGAATCTTTAATATATAATGAAAAAAGAACTGCTATGGTAGGTGACTCTCGATAGCTTTAAACGGAGAAACTTACCGGCATTAGACCGCCCGATGTGTCGAGATCATAACCAACGTTGGACATTTTATAGGATTTAGACAAAATATATATTTACATATAAAAATGAATTTTAATAAGTTTTAAATGCTAAAATCAATAAAAATAAGTTAAATCATTATTAAATTTTAATACAATATTTATTGGTTATAGTTTATTAAATTGAAGACAAACAAACAAGCGACAGACACTTGCATCGTTTTTGGAAAGATGGCGGCAAGCGTGAACTACTTTTGACATAAGTCTGTGTTGCTTCTTAGTTCTTACAAAATTTAATGCTTTCGGAGAGTAGCTTCAATGCCCCACCGACGGACTCAGGAAGAAAGCATAACGATGCTGGTGTGCACAACGACGACAATATGAAATATCATGAATGATGCTTAATGTCGCCGCAACTCTACGCCCTCTGACCTGTAAACGAGAGATGGAAAATCGATTTCAAAGAAATCTTTTGAAAATTGCTATTAAACTTAAAAAATCAACGGTCGAAAGTGATCTGATTTCCAAACAGAGTCACACATTCCGTTCAAATAATAAAAAAGATAACATAATTAAAGCGATCTAGTCCGGTACATAAAAACAAATATTTAGGTATCGTCCTTGACTCTAAGTTCCGCTGCAGTCAGCATTTGTACTAGGACGCCTCTATCCCTTAATAATTAAAACGTTTTAAACATCCTTTAGAAAAAGGTGACCTTATATAAGGCGCGTATGTTTTTCGTGCATATTGCTCCGAAGCAAATACACCGACTTCAGGTCATCCGGAATTGGGAGCACCGTTGTTCATGCGCAACATCGACTTACATATAAACTTAGCATCGCTCATTCCTGAAGACAGCATCCGCGTCACTGCTTCAAGTCCACTGCCGCGCATCCCAATCCGTTAGTCGTAGGTACCTACAGATCATTACCACTGGGTACGTTCCGCCGCAAATGGCTTAGACCACGACACGTCCTTGATTTCCCTGATGATGAGCCGATTATCTTTCATCAGCAGGATAAAACAGCTGCGAAAACACTCATCAGCGATTGCGGCAAACATATACTAGATTCCGCCACGTACCTGTTAATAATAGAAGCTTTGCTGGAGTTGCTTCTGTTACTTCTTCTCCCAGCGCCAACGATTTCGAAATAATGATCCCTTTAAAAATTCTCCTAGTCAGACTAAAGTTACCGATCGATCCGAAATTACCCATAATCGATGAGCCTGGTGGATCTGTAAAGCTTCCTCAAGGCCAACTTTAGACGATCCATTAAAAAAAAATAAAGCAATAAGAAAAAAGGAAAGTTGCCATTCCCTTTTTTCTTATTTGTTTGCCAGTGTATCTTTAAACTTTCTTCGTTTACCAAATTTCCCAACATCCCAAATGTTTTTGCGGCTTCTACATACTATTGATAGTGTGGATTATATTATAAAACAAACAATTTATTGACTATTTTTAAATGTATGATTGAGAAGTATAGTTTCATTTGCGTGTTCGCTAGCGAGTAAAGTATTCGAGGCCCATTTTTTAAAAGTTCGTAACGCATCTATAATCTCTTAGGTATTGTAGGTGACCATATGTAGCGATAAACACTTAATGGACTCATATTAAAAATGCGACAGCTTGCTTGCATCCTCTAACTGAAACAGCACATTCATGACAAAGAGAAAGATTGTCAAATTTTATATTTTGGTTATTAATTTATGGTCTGGACACATTTTACACTTACAGTCTAATAGATATAGGGGTACACACTATATATATCAAGAGAGAGCGAGAGTCTTGGAATGACTGTCGCAGACCTTTGGAACAAAGCAGAGACAGTTATAAACAAAATCAGAGTTATAAAATTTCTCAGAATTTATCGACGTAACCTATAAAATGAGATTTTACAAAATTTATGACTGACCTATGTATGTATTCTTATATGGTACTAACACTGCTGTTTTTACTCATTTAAATTCCAAGCTTTAATAATCAGCGTTATTATTAAAGAAAAGTGCAACCATAAATTCATCAATAAGTCTCTTGGATGGTTTGCTGTTATCAACTCTCACAAAATTTCTTTCCTCAATACCACTGGTTAAAATATCTATCAACTATTGTCAGAAAAGGGTTTGAGAAAAAGCTCATTGATCAAATTGAAAACCCGAAATAAAAAATGCCAAGAATAATCAGTGTATACAGAGAATAGTCAATATTCCTTATTGTTTACTTGCGTATGACGTCACCATAGTTTATTTTGTTTCGTATAATTTGTGAAATAATAATTATTCGGCAACCCAGTCCGTGCGAAAACAAGGCTAAATATCTAGGCACTTCACTACATAGTATGAAACAAAGTCGTCGTGCTGTCTGTCTGTCCCTATGTTTTTTTTTATGTGACAAGTGTCAAACGAGCAGACGGTACACCCGAGGGTTTGCAGATGCGTTGACAACGTTTTTGGAAATTGGGCTCCGGCTACCTCACTCACCAAATGAAACGCGAAAGTATTTATCATACTTCCACTTTACGCCGGTCTTCTGTGAGGTCGTGGTACTTACCCGAACGAGCCTGCCCATTCGTGCAACAGCCGAGGCTGCTGCGTGGCTCTACCACCGTTATATATATTATATATATATGCTTAGATCTTTAAATTTAGGACAACCGATCTTGATGCGGTTTTTTTTACTACATAGAGTGATTCAAGAGGAAGGTTTATATGTATAATACATTGCAGCCGTGCGAAGCCGGGGCGGGTCGCTAATTACGCTATAAAAATAAATCAAATTCAAACAATATTAGCACTGTAGCAAATAAGTCAAAGTACGCAATGTGTCAATTCGCACCACTCACTTGAACCTTTTTTATGTGAAAGGTTTGCAAGCGAGCAGGTATATTACTTGATGTTAACTGATTACAACAATACAAGGACACACAACACACGCATATGCGTTGCCAACCTGTTTTATGGAAAAAGGAGGCAGACAAGCATGGGCGTCTCCTGACAGTACGCGAACACCGCCACCCATGGACACTTGCAACATCGTAGAAGTCACAACTGCATTGCCAGCTTTTGAAGTAGGAGTAGGCTGTCTTCTTGAAGGTCGTATTGGCTCGGAAATACCACTGCCAACAAATTGGTCCACAAAGAAACTTGCGAGGCAGAAAATTGCCGAGTAATTGGTAGTTTGACGAGTGACATTTTGAAAGTGAGCCCTGGTGTTTGGGCTTTTAAAATGTGAAACTATTATAATAATTACACTACTGTGAAGCCGTGGTATTTTCCCGGAAAAACCTGTCCATTCACACAACAGCAGAAGCTGCTGCGTAGCCTCACCGCACAAACTTCTAGCAAAATTTCAATATGACGCAAACTTCACTAATACAAACCGTGTTTATACCATAATGACAAACGCAAGTACCTTTTTCATGCATATTTTCCAAACGCTTGAAACCTTAGTCAACGCCGTGCCCATGGTAATGCCAGTGGCCTTAAAGTCGTCACCGTCTTCCACTTTCTTTAAAGAAGCGTCGATAAGATAGGACACTTCAATTAAATGCCCATAAAAGGGCTTCGATTAAAGTCTTGAGGGGCCAGGGAAAGTACGGATCCTTGGGGAACGTCCACTCTCACGGGCGGGCGGGATAAGTCTCAGTCGGCTCAAAGTTTAAAATCGCGTCTTTGACAAGTAATCTCGTAGGATATCTATGATATCTCACATATTTTAATGAGTCTATCTCTCTAACTCTTAAGCAATGTAGCTTAAAAATTGAGCCAGATTTTGTCGAAGATATTCACTACCTAAAAAATATGTCACCTCACGCTACTATCCACTAGTCGATGAGGCAGTGCACTTGAAGGACCCTCGAGTTTCCGGCCGTAAAGTTGAATGGCTCGTCTGCAAAAGTATTATATGATTAGAAGCATTTTAGAATGCTTGCTTGCCAGCAAGGATTTTCCTAATGATAAGAAAAGTGGTTCACTTCAAATATTTAACATGAGGATGAAATTAATGTGCATATTAATATTCACATCTCGAACTGAAACTACCGAAGTACTTTTCTTCATTTCATCGTTATTAAACTTAAATGAGTTCTGCTTAGATAAATAACATGTGCTAATAGAAACATATCCATGTAATTAACTTGAAAAAAAAAAAGTATTATAGAAAAAGCGGATATCAATACCTTCCCGGAAAAATTTTAGCGTGGCAACAAATTCTTAACGGAAGCTGCCATTTCTCTGACGTCATGGGTGGAGTTTAGTTGAAGATCGAATTCGGATTCGGTTGGCGGGCGCGGCCATCTTGGTGAATTAGTGACCTGGCGATTCGGTTTTAGTTAGTGAAAAATCATTTGTCATCCACAATGTCGGAGAGGGAAGATAATGTGTATAAAGCAAAGCTAGCCGAACAGGCTGAGCGTTATGATGGTAAGTACTTATTTTTACTTTATCTTCATTATTTCGATAGAAATTCTTTCCTAAATTCGCCGACAGATGAAGGCGATAGTCTAAAAATTTTCTTGAAGTAATAACTTCTACAACCAATAATTAACCGCACTGTAAAGGAAAATATATACAGTGCATTCAATTTAAACCGTTACGTTTGTTATACTGAAACAAATAAATGGCATTCGTTAGGCTTGGTCAGCGATCGATGCGTCATCCGCCGGTGGGATGCCCTTTACCTTTTTTACGATGGAAGAACTGGATAAAGACCTTGCAGCCTCTTTCAAACCTTATCTTATTGAAAAACGTTATATCCTTTCACATTTTAAATTCTTTTTTTCTGTCGTTTCTCTGAAATAACTTCAAAAATGAAGTTGAATAAGTTCTCTTTTTTTCTCATGAATGGAAAGAACGTTCGATCGATGTCACAGAGTTCACTGATGCATTTCTTGCCTTGGGAAGACCAGCCGCTGAAAGGCAATGGAATGTTCTAGATTTTAGTTTATTTCTTTAATTTATCGTTTGGGCCGAGACGCCCCCGAGGTTTCACTTTTCACGTTTAACATTGTCTGTGAACCTCGAATCTTAATCACTTATTCATCGCTCGAATTAAGATAACCGTTTATTGTTAGGTTATCTCGCTATGACTTTCACGAAACTGATATCGCAGACGCTGTGACCCCATATCGGAGCGAAAGCCTGCGTACGCTCTTTTGACAAGACTGCACGATAATTTTAAATTTTCACGTATATCTTTATGAAGTTCGCAATGTTCTTGCTTATCGATTTTTGGGGATGTTGAAAAGTACGCGCAAATGGCTTAAGATTTTATGCCTTTCATTATTTATTACTCTAAAGAATAAACAATTCGATGTCCCGTAAAGTAAAATGTGTGTTAATTGCTGATTTTATAATCTCATTTATATTACTTTCACCTTATATTGCGGTGAAATTTTTATTTGCGGCAGGATATGTATTTCTAATGAACTTTTCGTCAAATATTGCAAATACGTGATCTATGTAGGCTATATGTTGCTCATTGTTACTAAAATTTCATTTTTCAATTACATTCTATTAAAATTTCATTAAAAATTGGATACTGTAATTTAAAGCTTGAGTCAATTGTAAGCCCTTCCTGTGATTTAAACACAAATTATTTTAAGTACATGAAGGTAAGGAATCAATTTTGTGAAGGTTGTCATTTTATTTCTTTGCTATGGAATGTTATACGGTTATTTCTTTTTATGAATAAAAAAGGCTTATGTAAGAATAAAAGATGTACACCTTTATGATTTAATGTCAAAGGTCACATGTGGGTGGATAAACCGGAGTAAATTGCTAGAATAGAATCAAGTCATACGGTATTAAATACAATAAAATTTTGAGTAGTAAGTAATTATAGCAGCATATATGATTGAATATTGTGAACCACACAATAATTTAATTAATAAAATTTTCTCCACATGTGTGAAATTGTTCACAATGTAACACTGATATGTATCTCTTTACAGAAATGGTTGATGCAATGAAGAATGTTGCATCCCGTAATGTGTCGGACAATGAACTCACAGTGGAGGAGAGGAACCTTTTATCGGTGGCATACAAGAATGTGATAGGTGCCCGCCGTGCCTCTTGGAGGATCATCTCCTCAATTGAACAAAAGGAAGAGACAAAAGTAAGTGTCTAATCTTATTTAATTTACAACATATTACAAAACGTAATTGACATCAATTATGTTACCACTTGCAAAAAATAAGTCTTTATTATATTTAAAGAGAATTTTTTTAGAAAATTTCATTAAACCTGTTGTAGTAAAGGGGAATAGAATTGTCTAGTATATATTGAACATTTTATTAATCCTTATTCATATTTCCTTTATTGCAAGGAATAGATGTTTCATTAAGTGCAAATAGGCAATTGGCTTTCTCAGTTTTTAGATAATTATCTTTCCCAAGGGTGGAAATTACAACTCTGATTATTTTTTGTGTTGTACAATATAACCTTATATCATTAAATTCATAAATTTCCCTTTAAAATAGTTATTTCATCATCCACCATACCGCATGAAATATTTTCAAATTACAAAAACTCGTGCCATTGTTTCCCGAATTATGCAACGGTCACGAAAGTTGCATAACTGACCCACAAAGTTGACCCATCTTCATGGTATCCCGTTATAACAAACAGGTTTGCTTTTGGCGTCGTGCAAGTAAAAGTGTGTAATACTCTCGCGGGGGTAAGGTGTTTAATCCTATTGGCACCGGTTTCCTTTGGAGTGAGGCCTGTGAGCGCTAGCCTATGAAATATTGTCGCGTATGCTGCACGAAGCTCTGATGATTATTTAATTCTATTGGGAGTTTCGCGTTGGAGAATATCACTGATGCTGTTAAAGTAACATTAAATTTGATACTCGAACTATAGATGAAGTTACTTATAGATCGAAAGTAAATTGGATCCTAATGCAAGACTTATCTTGAATATAGCCCAGTCTTCTAGGATCATGGCGAAACTTTACTTTAGAAATTACTTTTAGATGGAAAGTAAATTGGATCCGAATGCAAGACTGATCCTGGATAAAGCTGTCTACAAGATGGCATTATCCAGGATTGTGGCTTGTTTACTTATTGTGAATTGGCTTCCATAAAATTTTACTTCTCTCCCGTGCTTCAATGTCAACATTTGAAAGCGGGCTTCCGTTTGGCGACGCGTATGGTGCATTTGTGACGTCGAGCACACAAAGGTGCCTATGTCGCGTTACATCACCCGCGTGATTCATTAGAGAGGGGTGCTAATTCTCGTATCAAGGTGAATCGAGAGCTACACGGTGTACTATTGACCGGGCGATCTGACTACGAACGGCGACACCTTGCGATAACTAGCGCACAATAGAGCCTGCTCGCTCCAGCTAATAGGACGCATTCAGAACGGACTACGGAGGTGTTGTAAAATGCAGCAGTTGTGCCGGGTTGCGGACGGTTGGTTTTGTCATTTCGAAACCAGGGTCATCACCAGCTTGCGTGACCCGATTTTTGTAAACGCCTCCCGCGATAATCGCAGTCTTCCTTGAGTAGGAACAGTTTTCATGATCGACGGTTGGTTTTGTAAAATTTTTGTTTACGGAATTATGAAGCATTTCGTATAATATGGCATAATATGACGGTCGAATGTCTTTGAACCTGTCAGTAAATTGGAGTTAACATGGTGGAATTGAATCGTGCTTTAGAGTAAAAGCACGTGCTTTGTGAGCTTTCCGTTTAAGTGCTCTGCGGAACTAGATGCGCCGGGGAGAATCTTGGCAGGAGATTTTATGGCCTGCCCTGAAACATAGAATGGGTGTGGTCGCTGCAGAACTTGTTCCAACTTAACTAGATGCTAAAATTTGCCCTGGACCTGGCATTATTAGTTGCCGTTACGTAAACGCGGGCGTTTTAGTGATTTTGGGGAAATCAATTTCACGAGTTTCCGATATTGTAGCTTGTAGCTGAGCTTTTAAAGCGCATGCAATATATGTATGCTCCTCATGCATCGTTGTTTAAATCGCTGCATACACTAATTGGATGATACGACGAACAAAATTCGTTTGCAGTAAATATTCGCTTCTCGTCTGACCACGTTTATTCCGTCTGGAATTACGAACACGCACAGTCCCGGAAACTAATTGATTAGACATTTAGTCAATGTCGTCATTTAAATGATTAATTTTTAAAAACGAAGTATATTCCATTTCAATATTTTGTAATCTAAATGTTTTTACGATTTCACCGATTTCGTCTACATTTGAACGGCTCTTTTATGGAATGTGTTTGTATTGGTGAATTTAAACATAATCTAGTTTAATCTCGAAAATTGGTTAATAAATTAAGTACAGTTTAAACGGCCCCCCCCTCATGTACGGCCTAATTAATCGTAATTGCCTTTAGAGCAACCGACGTTAATTAATGTTTTCTAATTTTGAGTTTAATACAGATCTCCTTGTAATCTTCAACATTTCGAACATTTAGGGGGATGAAAAATAGATCTTTCTGTCCGACAGTAAACCTATAATTAGTCCTCACTATTGTAGAAGATGACATAAATATTGGTGTGCAAGGGAATAACCGTAAAAAAAACCTTACGACGTTATTAAAATTTTCACATCGTGGTTTATTTAAAAACTTGCGTAACAAGCGTGCCTAGGGAATTTTTCTTCATCCAAATCGCGCAGTGGTTCGACAAGTACGCACCCGCCAAGGCGGCGAATCCGGGCGCACGTGCCGCCGACACAATCGATTGCGGGCCCCGGCACTGGACCGCCCCACAGCGCCCTCTGGCGCCGCTCTCACGTAACGCACGCGGGCTGCACTGCACTTACATAGTACGACTAACTAGTTGATAAGTATCGAACGCTGCAGACTACGATGTTTTTGTACTCAATGTCTAAAACGACACCGTTTGTGCGATTATCGATTGTGTCTCGCCATGAGGAGCGTTTTCCTTGTATAGAGGTCGAGATTATTCCATTCAACGGCTTTAAGCTTTAACGGATCATATAAATTTTTGTATATAATCCAAATTGTATCTAGTTATAATCGTAGTTTTAGGTTATTTAATTTGAATGAAAACTTAATTTGAATAATGTAAACCAATCTTGACAAACCTTACACTCGGTAAAGCGAAAAATTTACCGTTATAACGTCGCTTCGTCTACTAGACCACCAAAAAAATTGTCACAAAAAACCCACGATGTAAATATAAATAACTTTGAAGGCATGCTAAAGCAGAAACGCCGTTACGATCGGAGATTCTACTAATAAACTATCTGATTGGCCAATATTCATGATTACTTTGTTGTGAATAATTTGTTTTACACGTAAATTTGGCACTACATTCTGTATAATTTTAATTATAACGTATTAACGGCAAAAAGCTCTTGAGCACAGTTGTGGACTACATAATAACTTTTATCGGTGCGGTCGCACCTGTATACCAACAACTTGTGCGCCTCCTAAAAGGTTAGGTTCGGAATTTTAAATTTCTGGGGAAACATTTTTCAAGACTAAACCCTAGACTATGCAAAGCCAACTTATATTTAACTTCTCCATCGCTCCGGGCAAGTAGAGTTGTTTGATTGAATTCATTTCTAATTCTTACTGGTAGTTTTCAAATACGATTTTGAGTTGAATTTCCCTTGATTTTGCTGCAGAATATTCTACGAGTATTATTTCTAGGAAACAGCATCGATTTTTGGAATCGTGTTTGCTTTAACTTATCCTAAATTGACAAGGTAAACTTATGTGTTCGATAGAAAATTAATTCTAAGCGTATCCATTTTTTTTTTAAATAAATTCTAGATATAAATAATGTTATATAAAAAATGATAAATATTTAAAATCACTAGTAAGTCATTAATTACATTTATTTGAACATTCATAACTAACACGCACACAAGTTCGTTTCTAAAGTATACGACGCGTTTATGAATGACTACCGCATTGTCAACACGGTCTGTTTTTTAGGGAATATAACTGTTTTTTTTTTCAATAAACGACTCATACTACCGAGTCTGAACCTCCTGTGTAAATTTGGGCAATTCTCAAAAAATCTCCCTGTATATAATAATATATTGAGAGCACAAGTATTGCATAATGGTGCTCTTTTTCAAGGCATTAGTTATACGTCCAATTATAATTAAATAGCAATCACATAAAGGTCATTAAATGGTTGCATCTTCTTTAAAAATTATTTAATTCCAATCAGTACACCAATATCAGAAAGAAAGAAAGAAAGAAAATCCATTTATTTACAAAAAAAAGGACGCACACAATAAAAGAGAAAAAAAAAACTAAAATTAACAAAAAATAAAAGAAATTAAATTTGCTTTACTGAATTATTTATAAGCATTTTACTTATAAATAATTCAGTAAAGCAAAAGAACACGAATACATAATTAAAATATGAAACAAATGAAAAAGAACTTTAACAAAACAAAAATATTGCACGCCCTGCACAGCATTATGCTATGCCGGAAGTCAAGATCCCCCATACCATAAGAAATATGAGAATTAGATGGGACCTAAAATCATGAAATAACACATCATTTATATTACACAAGTTTGTGATCCAATTACATTAGCTATATTGCAAAGTGAAAGAGAAAATAATAGTTTCAATCATCAATAGAGCGCTTTCGTCGTATAAGTAATAAGCTCCACTAACCTATTTCCTCCGATATGTAATGTCAATATTCTGCGAATTGACGAAATATTATGTACATAATAATCCCATTTGTGGCGTCGGCGGATAGGCGGGAATATTCGTCTAGAATATTCCACGGGAGGTCCCCACCAGTTTATCCGAACTCGTCGGTTGGATAACGTATTTAGTCGGCCATCTTTATGCTACGAGATTACAGCCTTCAATCGGATAGCGTATAGATTGAATTCCTAACAAGTTGGCAACGATTTATTTTTTCAAATGCAATATCTTTGATAATGTCATTACGAAATATTAATAATTTTGGGGAATTGATTAAAGCTACGATATATTACGTATATAATATATGTTTCTTTATCTTTGGTGTACAGCTTAGCCCAGTGGGCTATAGTCCTACATTCTTTGAGACGTAACAGGTATTACATAATGACGAAAGCTCTCGCCGAGCTTAAACTAATAGCGGACTATTCCCACGTACCTTATAAGGTCTAAACGCTCGCGCTGCACGTGTCACGACAAAACCTTAACTTTTTACCTCCGTAAGGACTATGGGAAGTAATGAAAGTTATATGAATGTCGTAAAAAAGTTTTTGCAGCTCAGAGTCCGCAATCGATTAACATCTGCTAATGGGTAATTAAGGATAAACTTGGCAATTTTATTGTCGCACCACTATTTTCGTTTCGTTGGGGTTCCGTGCTGTGATTTAATCACCCGTGGTGCCGGGGTCGAATTAGGGGTGTCAAGGTTGGTCCGCTGAGGTCGCATTCGCCATATCGATCGATACGGCGGCACATTTTTGCCCGCCATGTCGCCTCGCCCACTTGGCGTGCCAAAGAGGCGTTTCGCGTGGCACCTTTTGCCACAGGATGTGGTGATTTCCGTCAACACTCGCCTACGACTTCGGCCTTACTAATCGTCCGTATAGTAAATATACGAACGGAGCTTTAATGTATTTATTATTGTAAATTTAATGAATGGTTGACCTTAAGTACTAAATTAGACTGTTTAAGGGGGGCGATTACGCAAATTATATCTCTTACTACGATCTTTTGCGCCAGTTACACTCCATTGCGATATCTATAAATTCATTGATTAACACCTTGCTCTCTTCTATTGAAGTGAAATGTCGGTTCAAACGGGAATGTTTCTCCGTTTGTCCCAAATATGTTTCATAGCCATTCATCCAAACTGAGTGATGTGCGCATCCGTGGTTTCGTAGTCGATAAAACAAGAATCGAATCGTTAAAAAACAGTTATATATTTACTGGTGTTATGTGCTTTTTTTTTAAAAAAGATTAGTCATTTTCTTAGTCTTAAATAACTGCGTAAGTTTACCCAATTGTTTTTTAAAGAGCGGTGGTCATATTCACAAAAATCTTATTTATCGTTGAGATAAAGTTTTTTTTATCGTCAGTTTTCAGTTTAATTTGCGTAGCTTTTCAGTTGCACTATAAGAACATTTAGGAAGCCATCAATCTTGCCTGCCTGCTTGAGCCGTGATAGCTCAGTGTCCAGGCGCTCGCCTCTAATTCAATATACTCGAGTAACCCGAGTTCGTTCCCCGATGCCGGCACCAATGAAATCGTTCATTTTAAGTGCTGACTTATCACGTTCTCTGCGTGAAGGAAAACATCGTGAGGAAACCTGCATATTTTCGAAGTAATAAAACAAATATTTCTAAGATATGTGAGGACTTCACAATGCCAATCCGCAGCGGTGGACTATGCCCTGATTCTCTCTGTACAGAGGAGGCCTTTGCCCAGTAGTCGGTCATGTATAGATTGTTACTTTACTATACCTTTCCTACCAATATCTGTTTCCGTTACCTCTGTAGGAGAAATTATCATTATTCTGAAGATAAACTTCTTTATTCCTCAATAAGCACATTATCAAATCACAATTAATAAAATAATAATTAAATTCCAGCATTATTGAGATCTTGGGACACATATCGGCACCGTTGTCGTTCTGTGACTTGAAAGTTTAGACATTGGCTCCGAATTGAACGATTGCTCCAGCGCTCGCGCCACAATGGTCTACTTGTGTTTTAATTGTCCAAGTTCATTGAACTTATTTAAAAACTTAACGGACAACAACGGCGCTTTTGGAATAATTTAGTCATTTAGGAATGTTGATGCGTCGAACTAGGAAAATCTTGATGCCCGTTGCTTGTGGGTTAATCATGATCTTAATGCCCGATGATTATTATTTCTAATGTGGTAATTTGTTGACATGTTTGTTAAAACTAATAAGGCAGCAATGACTAAACAGAAACATGTTTATGTTTATTTTATAATATTAGGACGAATGTATTAGTTGAGGAAAAATAATTTGAATTTATATTGCACTTAGATTTCTAGGTTATTTATCGATAAACACTTTTAAAATATGTATTGGCGATTTCAAGAATTCTGGTCAATTGAATTGACATCTTTGTATTTATTGTGAAAAAGGAACCATTTTCCAATACTATTTAGCGTTAGTGTAAAATATTGTTGAGAATGATTGGTATATGAGATAATTTTCATTGTAACCGTGTTTCTTGGTTATTATCATTGCTTGACAGTGATAGGTTTCAATTAATCACTTTAACCGTAACATAACACTGTCGGAGGGAGGAATAAGAGTTAACTCAACGTCTAGTTGATAATTCGACCCCGCAGAAGTTCTGGGCCGATCGCACCGACGGTCGTGAGTCCTACGTTATCTACAAATAAACAAGAAAATGTGCCACTCCGTCGGAGGCGCCAGATAAGGCGCCGATAGATTGGTATTTTTAACCGCCATTGAAAATGTGCCGGCAGCGTAAGCGTATGACGCGGCCGTAGTGTAGTGTTAACATTTGACGTTTTGTTTGTATTGAATCGCATGTAAATTGGTTCGTGCGATATTATTGTGCGTACTAGCCCGCTTTGCCAGCGTGTATTTAGCTAGATCTGCTGCTGTAGATCGGCCAATGGTCCCTTATTTGGTTATTTTTCCGTCATAAGTTTATCTTTCCGGGATAAGCCTTTGTCGCTATGCGCACCCTCAAGTATTCCCATGATAATTTTATGCGTTAACTTTCTTTCCATTGTCGATTCCAAACTCATTTGTGAAACTGGAAAAATTACATATTATAATGTCCCTTTATTTAATATATGATTTCCACGTGCGATCGCCTTAAAAGGTACTAGAGTTTCTATGTATTTACGGTTCTCGATTTACAATACAAGATGTAATATTTTGTTGCATAGTATATCACTCCGCGCGTCGTTAAAATAGAATACGGTGCACAAATGTCGCACGAGGATTCGCCCCCGCGTGATCATTACGATACAGTTGTAAACTTTTATTGCATAAAATGTATTCTAAGATGCTACCAACCCAGCTATCCCGCTCTGGTTACTTCAGCGGCGGCTGTGCAGCACCAACGAAATATATTGGGGATCATAAATTTATGAGCTGTTTCCACTGCTAAATTATAATGTAAGATTCCAAAGTATAAGATCCGAGTGTTCCTTTCCGTTTGCCGTCTGTTCGGTGCTAAAGTGTGCCCGTTTGCGTGTGTGCGCGTGCGCAGGGCGCCGAGGACAAGCTGACGATGATCCGCGCCTACCGCAGCCAGGTGGAGAAGGAGCTGCGCGACATCTGCACCGACATCCTGGGCGTGCTGGACAAGCACCTCATCCCCAGCTCGCAGACCGGCGAGTCCAAGGTGTTCTACTACAAAATGAAGGTGAGCTATCTTCGAACCCATCATTATATAGATAGATGCCGTAGCTGGCGAGTGTTTGGGTTTTTTGTATTTTTACTAGACGAATATCACTGTCTCCTAGGAATGCCGGAAAATATCAAGATATCGATATTCTGATCCGATATATCCATATAGAAATATTCAATATCGAAATCGTATCAAAAATGATATTTTATAGTACTTTGGTAACTGCGCCACGGAGTGATCTTGAAGTCTCGAAAGAACGTGGTCGCTTATTGTATTGTGTTAATTCCTTGACACGATACTGTAATAATCTACTGTATGCATTAATATTTGTCACGTTTTCTAGTGAGATGTGACAAACGATAAGTGATTTCGCACAGTGTACATTGGATAATTTAGAAATATCGAAATATTTTACGAGATTTATGCTCGGTCGCCGTTCTATAGATTTCTATTACGAGCCACCGACCTTATTTGTTTCGGGAGTAGAGTTGGTAATGTTTAACTGCAAAGGTGCAATACAAGTGAGGTTCAGTTACGATGTAAAAACGGCGCTTAGCAAATTATTAAGGCACGCAATATCTATTCATGAAAACGAATAATAAGTAATCACAAAACTAATAACATTGCACGCGGAAGTGTACGAGGAAATAGTGTTGCCAGGAAGTTTAATTTGTTTTTGATGTTCACGCCTCGAAAGTTAAATTTCAATGACGGTGACAACTTTATCGTTATCAGGTAAAAGGCAGAACACAATCACGAAAATCTTTATATTATATGAAAATTTATAGAACGAATGCACTACTCGACTTTAAGCGAAATTGGAGAATTTGACCGTATGGTTATTTTTTATAAATAACTAGAGTGTTGAGGGTAAAACAGCCTTCTTACTTAATAAACGATTGTTTATTTTTATTTCTTTTATAAGAGTCGCGTATTTCGTTTAGAGATATTCGTTTTATGAAATGAAGTAACTTTGTTGACTGTATTTCAATTTTAGGTTCTATTAGCGAATATAGATCATTAATGTGTTTATAACATAATTGTGGCCATGGCGCCAATTGCCTTACACTCCGTATTGTGAGTTCGATTTTGTTCGTTCCATAGTGCCGTTCGTATATTAACAGGGTAACCAATATGTCAGTAATGAGAGTAATACGATAGATTCCTTGCCCTCGGTGCTTTCGTATAACTTACTATATCGATCGCTTAAGGGCACGGATGAAAGCTGGCATATATGTATTATGCGAGCCGGCCGCTCGACTCTGATTAATATCCGATAAGTCCCCGCCCTTGGTCGCATTGAGAACGGTAGGGTGGGCAGATTACGCGTAGCCCCAAAGACGCCGGTCCAGCGCGTTGAAATGAAAATCTTATATTTACTCTAATCGAAACGTCAGCGATCTTGACGTCCGTTCAGATTATGGCGTCGAGAGATATAGTGGTGTAAATATTTGCGAGCCTGTCACGAATTGGCGGATCGCTGCATACCACGTTAGGATTAAAAGATTCGTAGATAAGTAGTAGACTCTTTACTTATCTGATGCAATTTCTTTATTAATTACGTACACAAATCACACACGCAAATGTTGTTTTAGATATAAATTATCTGTTATTGTCAAATTATGTTTGTATTCGTCATCTATCGACCTCTTCAGGTTCCACTGAAAAACCAGCAAACGCGAAATTTTTTCGTGATATAATGCTCAGTGGTATGGTCATTCCATCCGACCTTCTCCGAAAAACAAAAATCATCCCTATCTATTTAAGCGTAGAACTGAAGATCACAAAGCCCAAGGCTTCAAGCGATCATATCAGCGACATTTACGTAGGAAAATTTATGGCGCGCAAATTCGTCATATACCGTCAAAGTTTATTGGCTTCGTTTATCACTGGTATCCGCTTTTTGAAGCCAACGAAATATTGCATGGTATGGTTCTATTACAATTACTGCATACCAAAATGTTCACGGCCTGATTAGGGCTGAGAGACAGTAGTCAAGAAACATGTCATAAGACTAGTGTCAAATGAAAAATCCACTATAACGATAATATGTCAGAGAATGTCGTCACATCATCATCCTACCACATCATTCTTATATCCAAGGCGTTTTGGCATATTCAGATGTATCGTTTGTTATAATTAGTTACCTTCTTTACTATGGTTTTATGAAACTGTCTCATATGCGATTATACGTTTATGAGACAGTTTCATAAAACCGGGGGGATAATTTGATCGTAAGCGGGGTGTAGCAGGGCGTCATTCGTTATCGTTTGGCGTCCTTTTACGAGGCGTTTATGAATATCGTTCGTAGCTAACGACACATTTTTGGAAATCGCGCCGGCCGCCCCGCCCGCCCCGCCCGCCACCCGCTTAATAAGGCCTAATGAGTTCGACTATGCGCTTCCTCATTAAGTCCCCGAGTGACACCGGTGTGAACACTGCCCGCTTATCTACGTGGAGCGGCTGTCGCGTTAGTAAGCGATCGATCGACGCGGATTTCGTATCAAATCCGCGAATACAATGTATATGAAAGCCTTCACGGTCGCTTCTAATGAAAGATCCTTGCGATACGTCTGTTGTTCTGCTGTAAAGCCAATACTAAGAAATTTTGTTGTTTTGTCTAACAGAGCGATAGCGACCACAATAATTGATTAGATATCGGTGGATGTTTCGAGATAGTGTCGTGGATACAGTGGCCCGACACGTATCAATTAATTTGTCAGCGGCGAACTATCGAGTACTATCTCGTTTAAATAGGCCAGGCAGAAATCGATAGCGAGCAGATAGGGCGGTGGTTTGTAGCGCCGGCGGGTCTGTTGCAGGGCGACTACCACCGGTACCTGGCGGAGTTCGCGACCGGCAACGACCGCAAGGAGGCGGCCGAGAACTCGCTGGTGGCCTACAAGGCGGCCTCCGACATCGCCATGACCGAGCTGCCGCCCACGCACCCCATCCGCCTCGGCCTCGCGCTCAACTTCTCGGTCAGTGCCCGCCCCCGCCCCCCACAAACACCAACACCAACACCAACACCAACACAACCCAACTGACTGTCAACGCCGTCTAGGGTATACTCGAACGTGAAATCAAATGTCAAATTAAGCCATCACCGTTCTCATCTCGACAGTTGTGGCAGAATAGTATACATAATGTTATTTCTATTATAATAGAAACAAACAACATTGTAGTTTTAGTTCCTTGGCGTTCGAGATTGCCCTTGCTTGATTGATCGCCGCCGCAACACAAGAGGCCACTTTGGCACGTCATAACACATTGCCCGCTTCTCGTTAATACCACGCACATTAAAGTTTCACATCTTATAATTTCCAATTAACTTCTCACTATATTCACGCACGTACCGCCCACAGTTGAGCCACATATATATATATGTATTCCTAACGATGTACGTAAGTCTGACGTCCCAAATCCCCGTTCCCATCAAAATTTCAGAAGCAATCGAGCCGGTGGCGCCTTCATAAATGATAGGGCACATCTCACACATTGCCTATCGTACTGAACACCGCAGGAGGTTTTGCTGGGGACCTTGGCAAAGGTCGACGCCGATACGTGCGCCCGACCAATTGATAAATCGGGTTCAACGCACCCGCTGCTTTATCGACAGCTTCTAATCTTTGTGTGTAGATAATGCGCAGTCGGCGGTTTTTTTTTTGTTATTTCGCAATTCGGCCGTACCGTTAACACTGTCCTCTTGATAGGTGGAAAATAATTTTTGTCGCAAAGCAACAGTTTGCTAAAACATGCCGGAGTAATGGATTCGACATGGGTTCTTATAATTTTACTCCGGTCCTACCTAACTTCGTATGTAGTGTAGTATGTTATTTTAGTTGTGGGTTTTGGTATTAAATCAAGAAATTTAGCAACGTCAAAGTTTAATTGTAACTAATACCCTAATCAATCATTGGTGTAGAAGTATTGTAGTATTGTTGATTTTTCTTTTGCTTTGTTGCGACGCTGTATTTCCCCCGTTTGTGGCGCGCTGCCTTGGCCGAGTGACGAGGTGTGAAGCCACAGAGTAAACAAGATAATGGCCGTTTGTTTGTGTCGCCGACACGTCACGCCGCCCGTTGGGCCTCCGTTCCCCTTTTGTGCCACATTAGGCAATGTCGAGCCCGTTCCACGTATCTCACGTTTGCTCGAAGGTCATCGTTTTAAAAGGTTCCACCCATTGAGAGACGCCGTTGCTATTCTAACGGTAATCGCATATTGATATTAACAATGTTGAAGATTACGTGTTAAGTGTATATGTTTCAACACTTCCAAAGAGAGTTGTTTTAAATTGGAAACTGTCTGCATCCTGGTTTACCGCAGGACACTGTCTTTCCCGTAGAAACTCAGTATAAGATGGTCTTCGACAAAATGTTCCACGTCTCTGTGGGTTTAGCTATATTATAATAAACTAGCGACCGATCTCGGCTTAGCATCTGTGCAGTTGATATTGAATTTCTCTGCTTTTCTCTAGTATAACGTTGCTAACTGTTGCTGAAAATGCCATATTGCACGGTTTATAAAAAGTGTTTGCGGCGCGCAGGTGTTCTACTACGAGATCCTGAACAGCCCGGACCGCGCGTGCCGGCTGGCCAAGGCGGCGTTCGACGACGCCATCGCCGAGCTGGACACGCTCTCCGAGGAGAGCTACAAGGACTCGACGCTCATCATGCAGCTGCTGCGCGACAACCTCACGCTCTGGACCTCCGACATGCAGGGCGACGGCGAGTCGGGCGAGGCCGAACAGAAGGAGCAGGCGCAGGACGTGGAAGACCAGGACGTGTCGTAATGCCCTTTTAAACATTCTATTTTAATATAATAAAAATAACTATAGTATCACGTAAGTCCCCGCCCTGCGACGCGGCCCGCCGGCCGCGCGCCTCAAATCTACCAGTTGTATACACTCCACATGTACTTCCTTTTGATATATCGATCCTTTTGTTTCTTGTTTCTATAAACGACGAATATAATGTTTAAGAAAAAAAATAGTACTTTGGTATCGCATTTTAACCGTATGTTCGTTCTTAAGAATGTATTCTCCTAAGGGTCGTTTGATCTCCCGACGCCACCCGCTGAGCACTCCATCTCTCGACAGCTACTCTCTATGGTGGGAATTGTAAATTTTCTAAGTATTTTATACCGCGTGTAAAATTAGTGTATTTAGTTCTGTCGCGAGCCGACGGCCGAGCGGGGGACGGCGGCGCGTGCGTGCGTGCGTGCGCATGCGTGCACGGATGCGCATGCGTGCGTGCATGTGCATGTGCATGCACGCCCATGCGCATGCGCACGTGCGCGCCGCGGGTCTTGCGTCGGTCGGTTGCACAAATAGTGTTTGGTAGCGGACGTGCGGCTTGTAGTTCGCCTCGCTGTTCCCGCTTCCTTCGTATTACAACATTTGGAGTATTCACACTTGAATTGCTTTAATTACTTACGAGTATTGTGATAGAGATTTTGTATATTTAATTTATTTTTAATTTCGCATACTTGTCGAAGATCGCAGTAGCGCTAGGGCTGCGGCCCGTCGCGGCACACATTCCAGGCGCGTGCCCCGAGTAAGATATTAGCGATATACTTATTTGAAATGTAATATTGCATATATTTTTGTTAATTTATCCACGAAATAAAAAATACTGATGCAATTAGCCTTAGTGTTATGCAATATTGATTTATGTCCTACCAACTACATGGAAATTTATTGTAAATGACAGTGTAAATCTAATAATAAAATTCAAAAGTCCAACATTTTTGGTTTTTATTCATTTCGTGACCCTGAAGCGCCGCTCCGGAATAGCAAAACCCTGCGATACAGACTGAAATTTCATTTGCTTAGAAACTATGTACTGACAAAAGATTCTATTAACAATTTCAATTTTTAATGCTAATCTCTGCATTTAAGATGAAACGTTAAATTGTTTTAGAAAAAATTAACGAGTTGTTTTTCTGCTGCGAGAATCGAACCTGCGTCTTCAAGATTCGAGCTTAGACGCTTTAACTACTATGCAAATTGCCACACCGAAGAAAATTTCGATGTATTTATATGTATCTCCATTGTTTTTTTCCAATCGCATTTTATTCTTGGGTATCTAATCTAGGACTGCTCGATTACTGTACGGTCATGGTCCAGATCGGACGCTCGATGGTAAAGCCAAACCCACATTGTAATCTCATCACCACCGTTACATTGTATGGACTGACGGAGGCACGCACTGCATCGTAACGCCTCATATCAATGCTCATGCAGCAGTCTGTATTATCGCATCTATTGAACCAAATATTACAATTGTTGTCGAAATTAATTGAATTGTATCTAAAAACCATTCAAGCTTAAGATGACTCAGCTTGAATAATGTAATGTGAAACATCACGCCCGGTCTCTAAAACACTGATCATAGTAGAAGTCAACTAATCAGCTGTCAAACGGCTTTTCAAATGTTATTTGAGTTGCCAAAACGATTGTTAAACTCTTTGAATTTACTATTCTAATTTGAAAAGCGGTCGCTTTAAATCAGTATTTTGGTTTTATTTGCATAAAATAAATATTTATTAAATAAATTTACGGAACATCATTTTACACAACGTTATCTAGACCCAAACTAAGCAAAGAATATTGAAACCGGCCGTAAATCAGCTCGATTACATCTGCGTTTCTATGACTGAAAAACTTCTCGATTTTGTTTCTAAATAGTTTAGAAGAGAAAATTAACGTTTCGAAATTAAAACTTGTCAAATTGTAAAAACTTTGCTTCTTTATGTTTGCGTCGACAGAATTCAAAAAGTAGCTAATGAATTAACCTGATATTTGTTAATTTTAAAGTTTTTATAGAGCGAATGTCGGCACTTAAGATTGAACATTAAAACATGTAGAAAAAGTCCGAAAAGATTGTCGCCGCTGTGGGAATCGAACCCACGTCTTCGGCATTCGCGGCCTGACGCTCTAGCCACTGAACTAAACGGCTGATAGCCACAGCGACGAAAATCTTAACGCCTTCTTTCTACATTGTTATCTAGCATTTGAAGCAATGCTTGGCGCATCTATTGATTTTACTGATATTTGTTCACAAAATAGATAACGGAGCTTTTAGCCACACGAAAATAAAACCCAACATTAAATAAGTATTAAAAAAAATTACCGTTTACATTTGCTCTCTGTTCAGTTCATAATCATTCATGCTGCAGAGACTTGTACCAAAAAAAGGGATCGGTATAAAAAAAACGACAGTAGAAAATATTTATTTATTGCACAGGGATATTATAATTTTAATATAATAATAACAATACGAAAAATGTTCTTATTCAATAATATATTCTCTATTATAATTAAAGGATCAAGAAACATGCTTCTTGATCCTGCACGCGAATAGTCGCGCTGTACATCTACCGTTAACAGTAAGCGTACACGAAATGAATTCTTAAAGCTTAACAATTTATTCGCGAAACTCCCTTTCCCTTGTTTATTGTTCCTCCTCGGCTCTACTGTGAATACCGATGCAACGAAACAATAAGAAAACAAAACGACCCCGTGGAAACGCCCGAAGAAATGTCCACGTGGGCAATGACTTTGGTATTTTTCTATAATGATAATGGCACGAAATATCTAGTTTTTTGAGACGACAGTGTGGGCTGTATTAGTGCGAGTCGTCAAGCCTCGTAGCATATAGAGGGCATATACATAATATGCCAACAACCGTAAGTCGTAAGGTAAAGAAAAACTTTTTTATAGTACAAACTGACGCTATTCTGCCCCGTGTTTTTTCTGACGCAATAAATTTCTATTCAGCACCCAATTTATTGACATTCAGCACTCAATAATGCTCATCTTTACAAGCAGTAATGGTAAAAGTTTTTGTTACGACCAAACATTTACGAAGTTGTTGGCATATTGTATTAATACGAAATAGGATAATGCACCATCAGCAGCACTTGCGAACGTGTGCGGTTCGTAATTCGGCACAATGTTTCACGAAATTGGACGTAAAGTGTCACTATACAGTTATAATAGTAGAACGGCGTTTTTTTATCTTATTCGGATATTATAAAGAACGCAAAGTTAAATTTTACACGAAAAAAGTGAACAAAGGTTGCATAAGAAGATGGACTGTTTCATTTATTTAATTCCAATCGATAGTAAAAATCGAACACAATATTTTAAAACGATTAAAAACTACATAATCGAATGTGACACTAACAACATCGACACAAATATTAGAATCGAACGCCCGCTACAGAACAGATAATATCATAGCACTATTCTAAATTAGCCACCAGAGCTACGGTTTCATTATATAGTACAATGGCTAGAGCTGACAGACGTCGCCGGTGCCGACGCCCCAAAGCTAGGCCGCGACGTACCCTAGGAATAAATTATGAAATACGCACACTTAACCTAATACAATAATCCTAATCGCATATAACACAGGCGACGGCGGAGTGGTATTTGCTCACAAATCGTATGTACAAATGCTGAGTGGAATGTGGCGGGTCAGACGAGTCAGACGAGGCAGCAGAGGGCGCGCAGGTCGGCGTCGTCGGGGCGCGGCGGCGGCCGCGGCGGGGGGCGCGCCGCCACGTCCGGCAGGTAGCGCTCGTAGCGCAGCCCGCTACGCTCGTAGAACAGCATGTAGGCGTTGGCGGGCTCTACGCCGCGCGCGCCCACCTCGCGGCACGAGCTGTCGTTGTAGCAGAGCCACGCGCCGCTCGGGTTGTGCGCGTACGCCACGTAGTGGCCGCCGTGCAGCTGCCCGGAGTGCGACTGCCAGGGGGCGAACGCTTTTGTTGTACTCAACGTAACAGAGATAATGAATCCGTCAAAACCGCCCTTAGCTAGTACATATGTAATCACACGATGGTTATTCACCACTGCGGACAGACAATGAACAACACAGTCATATAGATGGTACGCACATCGAAGGTTTTGGGTGAATGAAAATTGAAAATAACAAAGGAGATAATATATCGCCTTGAGAAACGCCAGCAAGAATGTTATACTATCTAGATGAAATTTCTTTAAAGCAAACCACCTGCTGACGTTCATGAAAATGACTTAACTAATTCAATCCTCGGTTAAGATCATAGAATAAGAAAGGATAGATATGTTATGAAGGCGTTTAAGAAGGCAACTACGATTTAGTCCATTTCATTCACATAAAGAAATTTATAATGCGAGAAGTATTTAGAATATAATTTTTTTTTATTAACAACCCAATGCATTTGATGGAAAGGATTGTCTTTTTAATTTCAACAATGTCAACTGGGGAGAAAGATAGCGAAATAGTCTGAAATTTACGGATTTTTTAAAATATGTTTAATTGAAAATTTATTATTTAATTGATAATATTTGGTTTCTTCATATTTGTATATCAACTTACTTATTAATCTATTTATAACCAACAATAAGGATAAAATAAAAATTGCATAAAAAAAATTATACGCTATTGTTACTTCTTTGAAATAGACTTTCCTGCGTATTTTTTTTTCATATAATGTACACGTGAATGAGTAAGTGGGTTAAAACAGTTTCAAAATACTATACGTAGGAGCACTCACCACCACCGCGTACAGCTTGTACTTGAGATCGAAGGGGTCCTGGTGCTCCTCCAAGTGGTGCTGGTGGTAGTCGACCAGGTCGTCGTCGTCGACGGGCGTCGCCGTCAGGCTGGTGGAGTCGAGGCGCGCCCTCGGCCGCGGCGAGCTCGAGGGGCGTCGAGGCTCGGGGCCTGCTTCCTCTGCGCCGGCCGAGCGGGCGTCGTCGCCCTCCGAGATGCCGCACAGCGAGGGCCGCCGCCCGGCGCCGAGCAGCTCGCGGCGGCGCAGGATGGTCTCCTGCGGCACCGAGGCCAGGTAGGGCGTCGGGTCGAAGTCCTCGAACGGGAAGTCGACCGCCTTCTGCGACTTGATCCACTTGTCGTTCACGTACTGGAAGCGCTTCAGGTGGACGATGAGGACGGGCGGCGCGCGCCAGATCTGCAGCTTCTTGGTGGCGGGCTGGGCGCTGCGGCAGGCGTCGCAGTGGTAGCGCTGCTCGAGGCGCTCGTCGGAGGTGAAGGCGGCCAGGCAGCTGGCCAGGTCGACGGGGCGCGGCGCGGGGCCGCCGAGGCGCGCGGCCGACGGGTGCGCGGCGCACAGCCGCTCGCGCGCCGCCTGGTAGCGCACGTGCAGCGCCGTCGGCTCCCAGTCCACGGCCAGCGCGAGGCCGCGCCGCGCCGCGCCGCGCAGGGCGCCCGCCGGCCACAAGTCGCACGCCAGCGCGCAGCCGCGGCAGCGCGCCGCCCACGGGCACAGCGCGCACCACGCGCCCGCCCCCGCCCCCGCCCCCGCCCCCGCCCCCCCCCCCCACGCGCACCGCGCGCAGCGTGAACGGGAACTCGTAGCCCAGGCTGTCGTCGCTGAAAGCCACGTACGCGCTCGTTGCCACCGCGGTGTGTCGCTTCTCCCGGCACATACGCGAGTGCGAACTACGGTTATTAGTTAACCCTAAGCGTGTGTGAGACTGCTTATATGGCCCAACAATTTCTTTGTACAGTAAAGTGAAAAAACACGTGTTCAAGTCAAGTCCGAACACAACTGTACAGAATGTTAAGAACAAGGGAAAAGCATGATCCTTGAGGAACGCCGGCCTAAAGGTGACGATTCGTTTAGAGTGTATCCTCGACACTATAAAAGAAAATAGGCACATTCATTACACTAACGAGCTAGCAAATAAACAAATCGGAGAGTTTTTAAAATTTTCGAATCTTTTACCTCTTTTGTGGAACTATAAAAAGATGACCCATTTGGTGATAACATGGACTTATATTCGATAACAACATCAACTCCTCTGTTGAATTAGATCGACGTATTCGCGGAATGGCATATTTTGTGACCGAGATTCCACATAGGCATTCGATTTTTTCACGTATAAGTTCAAAAATGAATAAAAGCGTAACACACCAGTCCGCCGCGTGGTTCGACAAGTCGTGGGGCGGCGGGCGCGGACTGAGCAGGCGCGCCAGCTGCGCCCAGACGCGCGCGTAGAGGGCGCGCGAGGGCTCGCCCGCCCGCCACGCCACCACCAGCGGCAGCCCGAACAGCGTCGGCCGCGACCGCTGCCACGGCAGGAAGTACGCCTCCGCGCGGCACTGCTTCCTGCCACCGTCACGCCGTCATGAGTAGAGTACTTCCCGCGGGAGACTGAGGCCGCCATGCTCGAGCCGTTAGTTATCTCACCTGTGCACCGCCACCAGGTACTGCGGCGGCGGCTCGGGCTCGCCGCGGCCGCGCTCCAGGTCGAGCGAGCGCACGCTGGGGCAGGGCGAGGCGGGGGCGCCCCTCGCCGGGGGCGGGGCGCGCCGCGGCAAAGTCTGGCTGCGCACCGCCGCGCCCCTCGCGGGAGGGCTCTGCGACATAACAAGTTCCGACCTCGAGCGCTGCAAACCACGAGACACGGTTTATGCTCGGAACGAGACTAAAATAAACGAAACAACAAACAAGAAGCAAAAGAAAAATATTATTCAGACAGTGTGACAAGTGAATTAGACAGGTCAAATAAACGAAAACTAAAATTTCGAATAGTCGATAATTTAATACATTTTATGACAATAGAATACTAACATACCGTCAAAGCGCTTCAAACATCATTTTATAATAGATTCTAAGCAAATCTCAAATATTATAGCAATAAAACTAGAAAAAATTCCACAAGTACACTCTAATAAGCAACATATGATCAATGAAAACCATTTCTAAATATCCGAAGGAAAAAAAAACATTTATAGAAAAAAAATGTGTAAAAACACCCATAACAACGAGCGAAAAAGAAAGATAATTGTAGACAAAATTAATTCCTCGCAGGTGCAATCTAAATAATCTATAAATACACACACACCAACGAAAACCGTTAAAAGCCTTAACTACAAAACCCGATAATTGCTACAGTATTTACAATTTAATCCATACTATTCACTTAGAAATCTCCCACGTATTCGTATTCAGTCGCTTCAGATTAGACTCACTCACTTAGCTTATAATGTGAAATGTCTCAATCCATTTTTCATACAACAATTGTACACCATATTTTGGGTGCAAGTGAGACCTTTAATTTGATACCAACACATGACGTATCAATGTCATAATTGTCATTTTTCCATAATAATAGCTAGGACTAGGTGGAATAGGTTTTGTTTACTATTTTAAACAGTTGCGCTGAGACTACAAACAATGATTGTTAAGGCAACATTGAGGCATCATTGTTCAGACTTCATTAAGTCATGGTTGTTAAATCTTCATTAACCCATCATTAATCAGGCTCAATTAAGCCATCATTGTTCACATTTCGTTAAGCCGTTGTTGTTAAGACTTCATTGTGACATCATTATTCAGGCGTCATTAAGCTATCATTGTTCAGATTTCATTAAGACATTGTTGTTAAGACTTCATTGAGTCATCGTTATTCAGACTTTATTAAGCCATCATTATTCACGCTTCATTAAGCCATCATTGTTCAGACTTCAATAAGTCATAGTTGTTAAGACTTCATTGAGTCTTGGGTATTCAGGCTTCATTAAGCTATCATTATTCAGGCTTGACTATGCCATCATTATTCAGGCTTCATTAAGCCATTATTATTCAGGTTTCATTAAGCCATTGTTGTTAAGACTTCATTGAGTCTTGGCTATTCAGGCTTCATTAAGCCATCATTGTTCAGGTCTCATTAAGCTATATAAAGCCTGAATAATTATAATTTTCATGAAATTAGCAGTGACAATTATGACATTGAAGAATCAAATGTGTGACATAACTTGTATTTTTTTTAGCAGGGAATCGGTTTCCGTAAATCTAGCCCACTACTGCTCGAACTGTACACTAACTACTTAGTTAAAACCTAAATGGCCAAAAAGCCAGTCCAGCTTATCTACTATGTGTAATAAAAGTAATATATTGGTGACTTTAGGGTATTTTATACTATATTATAAATAAGGTTTTGTGCAGTGATGACAAGACGAATGGAAGAAGGCGTATACACACAATAAATGTGTAAAAATAAGGATTTACTAAGAATTATTTGAAATACATTAGAATATTATACATGTCTAAAACGCAATTAATTATTCATTATTATTAATCTGCCATTATTCGAAACGGATAGACCTTATTTTATATGGGCTGTAGATGTAATAATGAATTAAAACTTTAACGTTAAAATTCCATTAGATACTTTAACGTAATAAGTAGATTATTTCTAACCTTTTTAATATAGAAGTTGAAAACAAATTGAGATTTCTTTTAATTTGAGCGAAAGGAACAAGTACTTGTAGTTAATAAGAATTTGTAAAATAAAAAAAATTATAATAAAAATATGTAATAGTTCATAAATTCGAAATTTAAGTTATTTTAGGTTCGGTGTGATATGAGTTCATTTTATCCATTTAAAATTTTCTACAGCCTTGAGTGATATATACATAGTTTGTATGATTTATTACAATGAAATGGAATGAATACGATTTTTTGTGTTTGTGCTTAATAGATTTTGAAACCGAGATGGTTTGCTGAGAGTTTACCTTCTCCATGCTGTAAAAGTTGATACGTTGAAGACTTCTGTCACTGTGACAATTCGACATACAATATAACAAAAAATATAGTATATGCCTGTTGCTGTATTTTTTTAAAATAAAATATTACAATTAAATTGCTTTCGGTGTATTGACCTCAGTGTGGGTCCGTGTTTATTGATTTTGGAATGGTTCAATTTTTAAATACCGCTCTTTTGATACAAAAAACATTTGTTATTTCAATACTGTTCGATGTTTTTATATTAAGGGGTTGAAAGGGAAGACAATTGAACACACGGACCATTGAGAGCTCCCCCAAAGTACAGAATTTAGTATTTTTACACCCGCGGTCCTTCACAGGCCGGATGGACGCTCATTGGTCCGTGCGCGTGTGTGCGTGAAGGTGCGTGCGTGCGTGCGTGTGCGTGCGCGCTAACCTTGAAGCAGAAGAGCGCGGGCATGCAGAGCGAGGAGGAGGCGGCCCCGCGCACACTCACCTCGCCCGCGCCCGCAACGCCCCCCTCGGCCCCTTCGCCCCCTCCTGCCCCCTCGGCCCCCTCGGGCCCGACGCCCTCCGCGCCCTCGTCCCCCGCCCACACGCCCCCCACGCTCGACTCTGCCAATACAAAACACTTTTGAGAAATGATATAAATTTGAAGAGAAGAGCAGTTGTTGGGAGCATGCGAGGCGTGAGGCGCTCACCGTGGGCCTCCGCGCAGCGCGGCACCTCGTAGGCGTAGAGGTCCCCGGCGGCGCTGGCGCTCACCTTGGCGCCGTCCTGCAGCAGCCGCGCGATCGTGGGCCCGCTCACCACCGCCAGCACCATGCTGCCACATCGTTTGTCTCACTTACATCCAGTTCCCAGAGCGGTCAGACGAACATGAATGAGGTGAGCCGCGATCAACTTATTATTTATTGCTTAGACCTAAATATTTTTTCATGCCCTTTTCTTAGCCGTCAATGAATCTGCTATCGGCTCGCAAACCGTTCAAATAAATACCGCCAAGAAACTAATGGACATTGGCTGCAACACCGCAACATATGAGGGCAAAACAAGAGTCATTGCCAAATCTATGTTGAAGGGCTCTTGAATGTTGTTAAACAGAATAATTTAACAATTTGAAGTAATCACTTAAAACAACTCGACAAGTTTGCTAAAAGACTCGCACGTAGTGAACGTTATTATATTTTTGCATTTCGTTTTGCGGTGAGATAATCGAGGGGCCACCCATTTACATGCTGCCAGCAGATCTGAACTCCTAGTAGACATTGTTCATAGGTGCGGTAATCACTTACGTTCTCATATCAAACAGCTTATGAAAGAAAATGCAAAATCAAAACAATTATAATACCACGATGAAGCAGAGATTGAATTTGAAAACCATTACCATTCGGGTGGCAAGCCGCAGAGCTCGGATAGTTTCTTCTTTAGATCCAAGTAAGTGCCCTCAGAATTCACTCTCACCCCATATTTCACCGGTATCGAGCCGTCCATTAGAATGACTGTGAATAACAATGTTAAGTTATTTATCAATACATAAGTGGTACATAATATAATTATATACTGTAAATGTATTAACTGTGGGAAGAGCTTTCGCCAATTTAAGTTTTTATCATCACATGGAATGGTACTGAAGATAAAAATATAGAGCAATGTTGGTCCTTCGAACCGGATATCTTACATTAGTCGCAAATAAGTTCAAATTCTGTTATTACAATTTAATTTTAAATGGGAATTCATTCGATTTTCACAGTGAATCATGTCCCATTATCTCCGTTAAGAAGAGCCAAGTTCGACATCGATAATATATATAATCGTTAATCGCAGATAATAAAGTTGACGAGTTCCTCAATATTGTGGTGAGAACGTACGCACCTCGCACCTCGCAGCGCACGAACGACTCCATCGGCAGCGGCAGGCTGAGCATGTTGAAGGTGTCGAAGCGCACCGACTCGTGGCCGCACGTGTCGCAGCGCACGCGCGACTTGAGCTGCCCGTAGAAGAGGTCCGTGAGCAGCGAGTCGTTGCGCGCCTTGAAGTGCGCCCACGCGTCCGCCGCCGCCTCGTGGTCGGGCCGGGGGCGGGGCGGGGCGGCCGGCGGCGGGGGCGGGGCGGCCGGGGCGGCCGGGGGCGGCGCGGGGGCGCGGTTGAGGTCCTCGTGCAGCGCGTCGAGCAGCCAGGCGAGCAGCTCCTGCGCGTCGTGCTGCCCGCCGCCGGCCAGGCCGCGCGCCCAGCGCGACACGCACCAGCGCACGCGCAGGGGCGCCACCGACCGCGCGCTGCACCCCCACACCTTGGCGTGGCGGAACATGTTAGTCACAAGAAATACGCCATAGGACATAGGTTTATTAGCTAATGATTGTAAAAAGAAAACTTTTCTATACAAATTGATACGCACACACATGCGTACTGTTCAAACACATTGCTTTACACTCGCACCGACGGTGTTCGTGGGCGTAGGGATACCGAGTTGTACTAATTTACTTTCGAAATTGGCAAATTTTTGTAGGTATGTATTACTTACGTTTTCTTTTAAAGGAATGCATTTTAGAAATCTAAATTAATAACAATGTCAATAAAAAATCTAAATTAATAACACTGAAAGCATACTTCTTAGACCATACAGGGTGGCTTTACTAAAGGTACCCAAATTCATACAGGAGGTTTAGATTCGGCAGTATAATTGTTTATTGTATAAAAAGAAACTTTTTTTTTTCAAAAAAAAAATTCTTAAAAACCAGAACTTGTTGAAAATGCGGTAGTCTTTCATGAATGCGTCGTATACTTTTGAATGATCGCGCGTAAAATAGAGTTGCGTATAAATCACGCACTTTTTGAGACAAGTTCAAATGAATGCATTTAATTAATTACGAGTGATTTTAAATTTTTATCATTTTTTACATAACATTATTTATGTCTAGAATTTAATAAAAAAGCCTCCCTGTATATGTATACGTTGGTCAAGATGAACAAAATAAATTGAGGTAAGCAGACGCGAATCAGAACATCCTTGCATTAAATATATACATTATAATATTTACCGACTTGTTGGATATTCGCGCAATCTCGCTAGAAGAGCGGTAATATGTAAATCACGATGTTGAGATTTTTGTACATTAATGACTTCAGACAGCTTTTATTATTTTGTTATCCAGAATAAACGGTAAAGAAATACAGATGTCATTGTTTTATCGTGTGCTGAGGACATCGTAAGCCCCTGGATCAAAGGTGAAAGTGGCACATCGCAAGCAGTACATTTCAAGAATGAACCGCGACGCGATGAGCATGTGAATTAGAAACGTATAAATAATGTATCTTTTAACCTCCTTGCAGAGCTCTCCGAAGCGCAGGGCGAGCGCGCCCTTGGTGCCGAGCGGGTTCTCCGTGTTCAGCTCGTACAGGTGCATGCCCGAGGTGAAGTACCGCGTCAGCGGGCCGGTGTTCCACACCTGAAGTGCACGACATTAGCTTCAATTTCAATAAGATGTCCTTGAACACTGGATCCCCGATACATTACATCGTAAAGCTAATGCAAACATTTTTTACGCCGCTAACGGAATTCGAATCCAGACGCCTGGACCATCCCATACCAATTTCGATGTGCAGCGTTCCACAATGGATGATGGTGTTCATGGGCGACAGTGATCAGTTTCCGATAAGCGAGCCTCCGGCCTGTTTGGCCTTTTCTCTCGTAAGAAGCAGTTTAGGAAGGGGGAGCACTGACCGCCTGCAGCGCGGCGTTCATGAAGCAGGTGTTGCCGAGGTTGTGCAGGCCGGTGGCGCCCGCCACGGGCGCCGCCTCCGCCGCCGACAGCGTGGCGCGCCGCTCCGACCCCGCCCCCAGCGTGCTGCGGAAGGGGGCCTCGACTTCTTTATGCGTTCGGGCATACTGCGTTAGTGCCCATTGCAAAGGGCGACGTCCACGCCAGAGGAGTGCGGATGTAGTGCGAACCTTCAGTGAGCCTCGGCTAATAGGGGAATGGTCGCGACATCACCCACCGACTACTCATTAGTTTGCGATGTGTGGTGTAGTGAGACGTAGTCTCTGGACGTGGCCTCGGCACCTGAGCGCGCCGATCTCCTCGGGCCAGCTGAGGTCGCGGTTGCGCAGCTCCAGCAGCAGCGGCGCGCCCCGCGCCAGCTCGGGCAGCTCGCAGAGCGCGGGCCGCTCGTCGTCCAGCAGCAGCGCGCCGCCCGCGCCCAGCGCCCACAGCCGCGCGTCCTCGCGCGCCAGCCCCAGCGCCTGGCACAGGAACTCGCTCACCTGCCCCGTTACATACACGCCGGTCACGTCTCTCGCTCTCCCCCTCGCTCTATCTCTGTCTCTATCTCTATCTCCCTCGCCCCCCGTCGGTACCTGCTTGACGGTGGCGAGCCGCGAGAAGGCGGCGGTGTAGGCCAGCTGGCGCTCGGGCGGCGCGGGGGGCGCCCCCGCCGCGTACAGCGCCGCCCCCGCCCCTGCCCCTGCCCCCGCACCCCACCCGCACCCGCACCCGCGCCTGTCGCAACGGAACAAATCGCACACACATACGAGCCCAGATAAGCAATGACATTCGCACGTTACATTTCTCAATAATGAATGTAGATGGCGCTTTCATAATTTTATTATTTATATCCTTTTCCAGTCCTTTTATTATTCATTTGTACCGAATTAAAAACTATTTTAAATAATGCCGAAGAAGTATAACTACTCACGCGCGTACATAAGTACACCCATCCATTATTTTTGGTCGCTGACACAATTTAAAGCTTAAACGCGCTACCCGGAAGGAGCAGATATAATCATGCAGCAGCGAAATAATTGCACCGACTAATCCCTAAACATACAATGCATCTTAAATATTTCAAATTATTTAGGATGTAATTGAAGTATTAAATAAATCCCCCTCCCCCCTACAAAAAGCTTACTTTGAAAAAGGGGGGTAAAATCTTAATTATTAATACTTGAACGTAACCGGATAGTTGGAAAAATCGACATAAACTCACGGGGAGTACTGGGCACGTGTCGCAGAATCTTCAGCTGCATCGGATACAGTTCCATCTCCAAGTCCGAGTTGGGCGGCCGTATCACCTGGAATGTGTGCAAAAGGATTTCACAAATGTTCCTCTGTGGCAGTGCCCCACTGGGCAAGTACCGGCCTCACAGAAGACCGGCATCTTATAGATTATACAACAGCATAGTAAATAAATAGCATTGACGATTGATTCATGACCCGATTGGCTTAGTGGGTGGAGAAGCGCCAGAGGGTTCCATCCACACTACTGGAAAAACATTGTGTAACGAACATATTTTTATCCAGTGTTCTAGACACTGGATAAAAATAATTATATATTTTATTCGTTATTTACAATGTAGGTACGCTTATTTATGAAGGAATGTGTGCTTAAGTATGTGTATATCAGTTATCTAGCACAAGCGTTGCTTTGTTTGGAATTAAAGTAAGCTGTGTAAAACTTGATGACGATTGATGAAATGCGTTATTTAAGTGCAGAGATAGCTTTGGTAATAAAAAAGAGAGATATGAACAAAGAAAAGGACACGTAGCCCCTGTTGCGGAGGAGAAAGTAAGAGAAAGGTATGGATTAAGTAAGGAGAGAGAGAGAGTTAGAGATAGTTAGAGAGAGAGTTAGAGATGGATAGAGAGAGAGAGTTAGAGATGGATAGAGAGAAAGGGTTAGAGAGAGATAGATAGAGAGAAAGAGTTAGAGAGAGTTAGAGATGGATAGAGAGAGAGAGAGATAGATAGAGAGAAAGAGTTAGAGAGAGAGAGAGAGATAGATAGAGAGAAAGACATAGAGAGAGAGAGTTAGAGATGGAGAGAGAGAGTTAGAGAGACGGAGCAGACCTGTCGCGGCAGGGGGTCGGGCGCGCCGTACCAGAGCGCGAGCGCGCGCCACAGCTTGTCGGGCAGCAGCTCGAAGTCGCGGTGCTGCGCCAGCGTCACGTCGCGCCGCAGCAGCCCGCCCTCGCCCGTCAGCGTGCGCACCTGCGACACGGTCACTTTCGTTCGCCAAACCGGTACCAGTGTTGCACAATCAATGACGATGACAAAAAAGAGGAGCTTCTCCGCTAGCGGAACGGAACGGTTGTGAATCTAAAAAGTGACTATCGATAGATGCTATACGTATTACTTATTTCGATAAATAAATTATTTGATTCGATTCAACGGGTAAGTGTTATGTTGAAAGGAATGAACTTCCTTGTGTCCGACGGCTTATTGTGCTTCGGAGCCACATACGTTGAGCTCGTCTCGCGCCAGCAGGCGGCTGTTGTCGACGGGCCCCGGGTGCGGGGGCGCGCGGGGGCCGGACGCGCTGCCCACGCCGCTGCTGCCCGCCCCGCTGCCACCGCTGCCACCGCTGCCACCGCTGCCCAGCGACGACGTCTCCGCGCGCCACAGCAGCGACCCCATCGACTCTGGACCGTCACCGACCGTTGTTTTAAGCTTAACGACTTCTTTTCGCGAGTCTTGGACTCTCGAAGCCTTCTTTCAGATCTAGTTACACACGCGAAAATGTCTTATACAATAGTAGAATTAATACTATATGCAAAATATAAATATTTGTTGATATTACAAGTGCAACGTGCGAAGGGATAATATCAGCCTCTCCTTCGTTCACAATCACAGTGATTTAGTCCAACTCTTACATGCTAAAACACCCCAAATCACTTTGCGTTTAACGACGCCACTTGTTCCACATTTTGCACACTTCGTTGCCACCGCCTATCGCTGACTCTCTCTTTCGCATTTCAACAACACAACCGCCGAGAACCTCTTTAATCCAGGCGGGACGAACGCCAGCGCGATGCAGAGACCTCGGCGCGTATCGCCAGCGCCATCTATTTTAAAAACCCACCCGTGGAGTTGGTGGTGAAGCTGTCGTCGCAGAGGGCGCTGTCGTCGTGGGGCCGTGGGGGCGCGCGGCAGCAGGGCGCCGCCGCGCCGGTGTAGGCCAGCCACGAGCCCCACCACTCGCCGCCCACCAGGTACCAGAACTGCCCCACCGCGTAGCCGCGCGCCGTCTCGCGCCGCAACCAGCGCAGCACTGCGCGCACACAGATCCCATTCGCAACCTCTTGTGCTATTGCCGCGGAGTGTGGTGTGTTTAGTGCGGTTCGTGCGGCTGTTGCACGAATAGGCAAGCCTGTTCGAGTAAGAACCACGACCTCGCAGAAGACGGCGTCAAGTGGAAGTTTAATACTTTCGCGTTTCGTCTGGCGACTGAGGTGGCCGGAGCTCGATTTTCAAAAAGGTTGTGTAGTAGATGTTGCCGCCTGCTGCCTAATTAACATATTTTCACATACAAAAAAAATCGAATGGACAGGTAAGTACCACGACCCCACATAGGATCGGTGAAATAGAAGTTTAGTACTAACGCGTTTGCTTCTGCGTTTCGCCTGTTAAATGAGTTACCCACTCTATAAAAGGTGGCAACGCACCGGCAACCGTACGGGTGTCGAAATAGACCTTCCGTGCGCCGTGACGACGACAAATCTCAAAATTATTTATAATAGTGTGCTCTGGACATACTCTCACTTATTTCTTCTATAAGAAAATTATTTATTCAACAGCACATCGGTGTCATCATCAACACAGTAGATATCGTTTATCTAAAACCGTCCTATCGTTTGATAGCTCTCAATGAATACTTCGCGATACGTTTGCAAGTCTTATTTCCTCTCCGAAAGTCGCAATCAAAACATTAGACGTAGCAATAAATTCATTCATTTCGTTTCGTTTCAACCCTTCATTCATTCATTTCATTTGGACCCTTCATTCATTCATTTCATTTCAACCCTTCATTCATTTAGATTTAGCTTAAGGTTGTGGGTTGCTGGTGCCTCTTGTAAGACAAGGTTAATAATACCCTAACAACTGTTCTTAAAAACTGGCCGACTACTGGCACAGTTGGCAAGGTATTACCTTCGGCACCGGCGGGTTCGATTCCTACGTGGGACAACTATTTGTGTGACCTACAGATCATTCTTTCGGATCTGGTCTGTCCACGTGTAATTTATGTTTGCAAAACGTCCCCACAACACAGTATATGTTATACTACAGCAAGGGGCAATATTTGAAGGCGTGACGTTACCTCCAACTGTCACATGTATACTATATCTATCTAGGGTGGCCTTGACGAGAGTACAGTCAGGCGCGTAAATCCCTTAATATTATGTATTACGGATAGGGGATATGATATTAAATTTCATTTAAGGCGTTGTATGCCGTGAATTTTTAACTATTTGGGTGGTGAAGTATGAGGAAGCGGAGGAGGGGTAACGCCGCTTGGTGGCGCGCAGCGCGCGAGTTTCGCGAGTAGTGTGTCTAGTGATTATTCGATTATTAGAGGAGTTTGTGCACTTAAGTGCTCTTTACTAAACTGAAACAATACATTAAGATTTGTAGAACACTGGACGGAGAGACTGACGCGAAACCGTCGAAAAGACCTGGATTTGATTCCCGCAGCGGAGAAAAACTTTGACTCCATTTTTTTTTTACAAATTTTAATGTTAATTGATATTAAGTGCAGAGATTAGCACTATCAAAGTTAAAATTTTAAAAAACAGAAAAAAACAACAGCAATTTTGTTGAACGCCGTTGTTGAATTAAAGTTGATAAATTATCTGTAATATTGATGATTTCCGTCTCGGTTAGTGCATTCGCCAGGAGTGACTCCTATTATTTGTATGATCTGTATATATTAATTCGGGTATTTAGTATGAGACTTGTGTATATAAAACATACTTATAACACAGGATGAAATCATCAAACAGTAACGACAATGTGTTAGCAAAAAAAAAACAAATGGTAATGAATCATAACGCAATAGTTATTCCTTCAGACGCTGACACACGAAAGGCTGGAGTTGCCAACATTAAATGCGCTGCAGACTGTACTCGGAGATAAAGAAATCTCTTGTTTGCTCAAGTATCATGTGGGCTTTGCGAATTTTGTCGCTTTTCATTAGCGGAAATTCACAACTAGTGTCACTGTCAAAGGAGACGTTGTTTGATTAGTTATAAATATGCATTTACTTAAATGAGGTATTTGTGTGACCCACAGGATGATTCTTTCGTATTTGTTGCTCCACGTGAAATTTATGTCACAATCTTATAACACAGGTTAATGTTATCCTACAGTAAATGCAATGTTTGTTTTTATTTTTGTTTAAATTGAACGATTGTTTCGGTTGTTGCAAATTGTATATTTTGATAGATACGCTTGGCCGGCGATCTTCTTTAGTATATAAAAACGTAATGGCGTTGGCGTAGAGGATAGTGGATAGGAGGCAGTGGGTATGGGTTCGATTCCCACTACTGGAAAAATATTGTTTGATGAACGTAGTCTTTTGCAAAATGTGCACTTGTTTACAAAAAATGTATGTTTAAGTATGTTTATCAGTTACCCAGTATCCAACGTCTTAGTTTCGGACTAGATAACGTTGTGTAACTATGTCCAGTAATATTTATTTATTGTTTTATTTTCTACTAGCTGCTGCCCGCGACTAAGTCTGCGCAATATAAGCTGAAGGCGTAACATTCAGACAGAATGACAGATATACATAAAATATGTATATAAATTATAGCCTATGTCTTATTCTGATGTATAAGCTATATAAGTGTAAAGTTTCATTAAAATCCATTTAGTAGTATTTGCGTGAAAGAGTAACAGACATCCATCCATACATACAAACTTTCGCCTTTATAATATTAGTAAGGATATTAAACGAGCAATCGAATATTACCTAAGCTGTAACCGACCTATTTCAACGATAATGCAAAACGCTATCGCACAACAAAGTAAGCAAGATAACGCTTACACAATATTCTAAACGCACTAGCTCTCGCTTCTAAGGCGCGGGGTGGTGACTACCAAATTAGTGACAATTTCTTGTATTTACGCGATTACAAATTACAAATGGAACTATTTTTACGGATTTTTCGTATATGTATGGAGAATAAAAATATTGCTATACGTTATGAACGCAGCTTAACATAATTAAAAATGTAAAAACGGAACGTAGCGGATGCAAGAGAGGTTGAGTGAGGGAGTGAGAAAAGAGTTAGTCTTTTTTAACCGTACGTTGTAAAATAAATCTTTTTCCACCTTGTTTGGGTTACTAAATAAAGGGTTAAAAGGGATCTTATTGCTTTATTTTGCCATACAATCCCACATGTATTAAGGATAGCTCCGGTGCGGCCGCTCGCTTTTAATTCAATAGGTATACTCGAGCAACCAGAGTTCTATCCCCGATGTCGGCACCAATGAGATAGTTAAAAGTGGTGACTTATCACGTGCTCAGCGGTTACGGAATTCATCGTGAGGAAACCTCTATGTTTTCGAAAAAATATTAAAAAAAAAGTATTTCGTACATATGTGAAATCCGCCAATCAGCAGACGTGTGGTGAACTATGCGCTTGTACTTGTTGTTGAGGCTTTAGCCCAGCAGTGGGATATGCCAAAAGTGTGAAGTAACTGCCTATACATATGTATAGGCAGTTGCTTCACTTTTTTTACCCTTTAGTCGCGCCTAAAGAAGTTTTACTTTAATAATGCAGAGATCAATAAATGAACAAGTGAATGCGCCTAACAATAATTGTTATTTCAATACTAACTGCTGCCCGCGACTACGTTTGCGTAGAATAGGCTGAAGGCGTAACATTCAGAAAGAAAGACAGATATACATAAAATATGTATATAAATTATAGCCTATGTCTTATTCTGATGTATAAGCTATATTATTGTAAAGTTTCATTAGAATCCATTCAGTAGTTTTTGCGTGAAAGAGTAACAAACATCCATCCATACATAAAAACTTTCGCCTTTATAATATTAGTAACGATTATTCACGTAAATGCAACGCATACATCACGCGTTCGGAATCCCCCCCGAAGCGTGCAAAGTCACGCGCCGAGCCTATGCGAATCGCAATTAGCATTGGGCGTTAATTATATCAGCGTTAACGGAGACTGTGGGGGCAAACAGTGAATTATGTCGGCAAACGGTCTCAATGCCGCAGCCTCTCTTGCGAATCGAACGGGCGGTAACGAAGACGTTGTTTTTTTTATTTTATTTGAGACGGTGACAAACGTGCTGACGTTAACTGATAGAGAATACTGTGGTAGGGGCACGCAACAGTTTTCACTGTTGCACGAATGGGCAGGTCCGTCCGGGTAATTACGACCTCACAGAAGACCGGCGTAAAGTAGAAGTGTTACACTTCCGCTTTTGATTCAACTAATGTTAAGTTATAACCGCCGCACATCGACATTCGCAACACGAGAAGGGCTGCAGATGCGTTGATGCCTTTTAATAAAGTAGGCCTCGGTTACCTCACTCACCAGACGAAATATTACGTAGTCTAGTTAACAGCCTTACTCTAAGCTAGTGCGTAGCAATTAACTCTCCAGTCGTAAAGGTAGAGTTAAGATAATAGCGGAAACGAATATATATTATACTTTCACACGCGGCTTCGCTCGAGTTGAAGCCCTTAAATAAATATCAAGATATTTTCAACTCTTTACAACCATTTTTTCCAATTAAAAAATAGCCTATCTCCTTTCTCTGGCTGGTCTAGACTATTTGTGTACCAGTAGTTTTAGCGTAAAAGCGAGACAGTCAGACAGAGTTACTTTCGCATTTATAATATTATAGTCTATAAGAATGTTTTTAAAACTATCTAACTATACTGAAACAACATCAAACGATATTATTTATGAAAGATTTTAAATGGACACTGACGCAACCGACGGAAGTCGGTACCTCATTGATATTACCTATCTATTCATATCGAAGCATCATACTTTACAAAATAACTCACACAACATAGACACTTTCAAATTTCCCGTTACCGCGTGCGTCACACGATAGCTTCGAGAATCATTTGAAATTCAAACGGATCTCATTAAACGTTACTCGAGGCATATGACGGAGAATATCAAAAGGAAACAATTATAAATGTCAAAGTAAACGGCTGTTAAAGTACTTTACGTTAAAACCTGAGACAAACTCCACGCCATAATCCCTATCACAGACTGTCGAGGAATACAAGGTCTTAGTACGTGTGAAAGAGATACAGAGAGAAAGGGAGGGGGTAAAGAGGAGCGGGACGGAGATATCGCACTGACCAATGTCCCGCTCGTGGTGGCGGCTCCTGTGGAGGGTGTACGCGTGAAAGAGGTGTGGAGAGAAAGAAAGAGAGGGGGGTTAGAGAGAAGCGGGACGGACAAAGGGAAGGGGGGGGGGGTAGATAGAAGCGGGACGGAGACATCGCACTGACCAATGTCCCGCTCGTGGTGGCGGCTCCTGTGGAGGGTGTACGCGTGAAAGAGGTGTGGAGAGAAAGAAAGAGAGGGGGGTAGAGAGAAGCGGGACGGAGACATCGCACTGACCAATGTCCCGCTCGTGGTGGCGGCTCCTGTGGAGGGTGTACGCGTGAAAGAGGTGTGGAGAGAAAGAAAGAGAGGGGGGTAGAGAGGAGCGGGACGGAGACAACATCGCACTGACCAATGTCCCGCTCGTGGTGGCGGCTCCTGTGGAGGGTGTACGCGTGAAAGAGGTGTGGAGAGAAAGAAAGAGAGGGGGGGAGAGAGAGAAGCGGGACGGAGACATCGCACTGACCAATGTCCCGCTCGTGGTGGCGGCTCCTGTGGAGGGTGTACGCGTGAAAGAGGTGTGGAGAGAAAGAAAGAGAGGGGGATAGAGAGGAGCGGGACGGAGACATCGCACTGACCAATGTCCCGCTCGTGGTGGCGGCTCCTGTGGAGGGTGTACGCGTGAAAGAGGTGTGGAGAGAGAGAAAGAGGGGGGGGTAGAGAGGAGCGGGACGGAGACATCGCACTGACCATGTCCCGCTCGTGGTGGCGGCTCCTGTGGAGGGTGTACGCGTGAAAGAGGTGTGGAGAGAAAGAAAGAGAGGGGGGTAGAGAGAAGCGGGACGGAGACATCGCACTGACCAATGTCCCGCTCGTGGTGGCGGCTCCTGTGGAGGGTGTACGCGTGAAAGAGGTGTGGAGAGAAAGAAAGAGAGGGGGATAGAGAGGAGCGGGACGGAGACATCGCACTGACCAATTGCGTGAAAGAGGTGTGGAGAGAAAGAAAGAGAGGGGGGTAGAGAGGAGCGGGACGGAGACATCGCACTGACCAATGTCCCGCTCGTGGTGGCGGCTCCTGTGGAGGGTGTACGCGTGAAAGAGGTGTGGAGAGAAAGAAAGAGAGGGGGGTAGAGAGGAGCGGGACGGAGACATCGCACTGACCAATGTCCCGCTCGTGGTGGCGGCTCCTGTGGAGGGTGTACGCGTGGTGAAAGAGGTGTGGAGAGGAAGAAAGAGAGGGGGGTAGAGAGAAGCGGGACGGAGACATCGCACTGACCAATGTCCCGCTCGTGGTGGCGGCTCCTGTGGAGGGTGTACGCGTGAAAGAGGTGTGGAGAGAAAGAAAGAGAGGGGGGTAGAGAGGAGCGGGACGGAGACATCGCACTGACCAATGTCCCGCTCGTGGTGGCGGCAGCGGGGGCGCAGGCCGAGCACCACGTGGCAGAGGTCGAACATGAGCTCGAGCAGCGGCTCCACCAGCCGCTCGGCGCTCTCCACGCTCCAGATGAGGAACTCCTCGGCGGTCAGCACCGCGCCCTGCGCCAGCTCGGACGCCTTCTCCGAGTCCTGGCGGGCGGACAACGTCATACCCATTACAAGACTTTTGAAGTTTGGTACGGTTTCGCGCCGCTGTGGGAATCAAACTCGTCTTCGCTCGCGGTTCACCAGATGTCAAGTGAAGACCGCCTCCCACGGACATTTGCAACACCGGTTGCAGATGTGTTGCCACCCGGCTACCTCACTCACCAGACGAAGCGCAGTGTAACACTTCTACTTCGCGCCGGTCTTCTGTGAGGTCGTGGTACTTAACCGGACGGACCTGCCCATTCGTGCAATAGCTAATACTGTTGCGTGGTCCTACCACAGTTAGTATCTTAGGTCTTCTGTCCGATGGAAAATTCTTTCAGACAATACCCTCAGCATTGAGGATATACGAAACGATAAGGAGGTTATTATCAATAGATTTTTTTTAATGTGAAGAAAATTTTTCAAGCCAGTAGGCGTTTCACCTGAGTTTTGTGAATATCGCCACCCATGGACATCTAAAACACCCGAGGGTTACAGATGATTTGACCGCCTTTTGAAAACGGAGCAAAAATCTTTTCCCCTGCTCGCCTGCTCGCTTGGCAACTTGTCACATAAGAAAAATATGGGGGTACTCGCCTCTTTGATGTCGACCAACTGCTCCTCGACCGGGCCCGCCTCCGGAGAGTTGGGCCCCAGCTGGAAGCGAGGTCTCCTGCCGTTTTCGGGGACCGTGACCAGCTTGCCCCTCAGCTCGAGGAGCACCGCCTCCGGATCGAAAGGCCCGTCCCCTGGCTCCGGGTCTCCGCCGCCCGAAGGCGTGGACGCCCGCGAGGGCTGGTTCCTCAGCGACTCGTTGGCGATGGCGCAAAGGACGTCCACCATGTCCAGTATCTCCCTCCTGTTCAGGATGCCGTCTCTGTCCAGGTCGAACATCTTGAAGCAGACTGCGGGACGAGGGTTGGATCAGGTGGCGATTGTGGTAGTTCGCGGAAGATTGCGTTTTCGTGTTCCCGTGTCCCCAGCAAGGCGACAGCGCAGGTGCAACGTGGGTTTTTAGTGGGTACCCTGTAACTCCCACATACCCCTGATGCCGACCCACAAGGCGGCGGGGGATCCATAAACGATTTTTCCCACGTAAAAAAGAAAAAGGTGGCGATTGTGGTCCCTTTTTCTTAATGTTTTTATGAGTGAGATAAGTGTTGGTCTTCATTGAGGCAGTGATAATTCCCAGGGCAAGCAATAGTGATGGCTGCTCCATGGTCTTACTGTAGTCATTTTTCGTAATTTTTTGAGTTTTTTTTTAAGTTTTGTGTTAAAACATAGCCCTCACTTTAGGATAACATTATCCTGTGTTGTAAGGACGTTTTACATACATATATTTAACGAGGACAAACACCAAGATGCGAAACAACAATCTGTGTCGAATCTTGGTCGCACAAATAGTTGTCCCTTGTGTGAATCGAACCCACGACCCCCGAATCCGAGGCCAATACCTTGGCAACTGCGCCACGGAGTCATCAAACCCAAATTACTCCACCCTGTAAACGCGCTATCCTAAAATCTAAAGATTTTTACTGGTTTTCTCAGGTGAAACAGTTTCTTTAAGATGAAGTATACACAAAAACTGAATCTGACACTATCATTACAATATATGTCTATTGTCTATCATTACTGATACTCACAAAAGCTAAAATAGGACGTATACCTGTACTATTATATTGTAAACAATCTTTTTAAATAAGTGCAACTGTTGAGGATACTTTCCGGTTTCTTCACAACAGAAACTGCTTACAGAACCGGTGGTAACTTACTTACGAACCTATTAATTTTTATTAAAACATGTAGAAAAAGTACGAAAAGATTGTCGCCGCTGTGGGAATCGAACCCACGTCTTCGGCATTCGCGGCCATGCTTCAAATGCTAAATAACAATGTAGAAAAAATAACGCTGTGGTTATCAGCCGTTTAGCTCAGTGGCTAGAGCGTCAGGCCGCGAATGCCGAAGACGTGGGTTCGATTCCCACAGCGGCGACAATCTTTTCGTACTTTTTCTACATGTTTTAATGTTCAATCTAAAGTGCAGAGATTAGCACTATAAAAAACTTTAAAATCTATTAATTTTTATGTAAAATTTTGACGATGAAACGTCAAGAACACGCAAGCGTCTATGTGGATAAAGATATTAAGAATTTAAATTGTTTGATGCTGGTGCAGATAAACAATTTCCGAAGAAAAGATACAATTGATTCAACACTAAAATTGGAATGTAACAGGATTTTCCTTATTGTGCCGCTCGTCGATTAACACCGACTCGATTGTTTTCAGAAAACACTTAATTAAGAGAATTTTAAACTGTGATAAATCGGTCGACGTCACAAGGTCACACAAGTGGTGGGGGATCGACGTGACGTGTCGAAGGACACGACAGAGGCAAATGAGGCGGTAGCCTTCGCTGTGGCCCGTCATTTATAAATTGTCAAAGACGTAATAGCCTATATATGCCCCATAGTTGGACAAAGGCTTTTCGGTTCAGTGGGAATAGGGCATAGCCACCACGCGAGTTAAAACGAATGGGCTCACAAATCTTAGAGATATTCTATTTTGTTTTGTACGCTGTTCTTGTATCTTTATTGCACTAAAATTTGTGCAAAGGCGAGCTCTCTACCAGCTAACCCTAGATAAAACAGAAAGAAGAAAGTAAGAAAGAAAGAGAATGAACAGTACAGTAGTACTAAACGCCATGCATATAATAATAATATTCGGGGTAATAAATTCCAGTAATACCCACATATACATACATACATACATACATACATACATGTTTTTACATTAATTCATACGTACACATACGCATAACAATACAATATTTATACGACCTTCACTGCTGACCTTTATTGAGCACTGTAATAATTTCTCTACAGTTTTTCTGGTAAAATTGTCTTTATACCATCTGATTATGGGAAGTTATACAAGTATCGGCGCAAAGGTTTATAAAACCTATTTAAAAGTCGATAGCTAAATCGTAAAAAAATATTAATTTTCGAAATACTTTAATAATATTTAACAAAATAATTATATATTCCACAATTGAATACCATTTGTGAGTTGTGTCTGCTTAGTGTTTACTGATGGTACGACTTAACTAAGCGTATAATAAGGTCAAATTAGATATTTATCTTTAATTAATGTTGGTATCTCCAATTCGAGAAGGAAAGTCATCATCGAATTCGATGATGACTTTCAATCATCGTTAGCGGACAATCAATCAAACGATATTCGATGAAGAACCAGTCATTTCCAGATAAGAAATGGGGGCGATTATCACAAGTTGAACGATGAATCTCCATTACTCGATGTTTCTTCGCTAGCGAGTGCATGCAAATGACGTCCAACGATCTTATCGCGCCGAGATACGGACGTGACGAGCTTGGCCCGTTGGATAATCGCCGATAAGCGAGCGATAGTGATACCAATGCGCACACTGAAGACGATAGAGAACTTATCGATTCGCGATCTCAAAATTCCTATTGACACCGATTCTCTAACGATCAATTTCAGCATTTGAGGAGGCCCAAAAAAGGCCATAGATGCGACAGAGACAGGTGAAACGTGGGCTTTCGCCCCCGATGCAATGGTAGGGGATCCTAAAGGATTTTTCCCACGCTGGAAAAAGGTGGTACGGACGAAAACGCGTCTTAAGGCCCATTTACACGGTGCAAGTTTCTTGCCTGTAGTATACAATTAAATTGAAGCAATAAATGAGTTGCATGGTCTAAACAACAAATGGTCTAACAAATTATTGCGCGCAATTTATTGCATTCAATTATTGCTCTTGTATGTACAAGAAAATGGCATCGTGTAAATGGGCCTTTATTGTTTAGGGACCTTATTCGGGGTCTTATTCGACGAACCACCAAAACCATCGAGTTCACCCGTGGTATGAATCGATAAACTTTTCCGGAGTCACAACCGTTTTACGTGTAATCAACTTGGTATGACCCTCCAGTCGTCGCGTCGTACGGAAGATATTATCACCAACGAAAAGTTTCGCTTTGGGAATATTAGTAGGCCAATAGCCTTAATAAACCTTACTAATAGCACTAGGGTTGACCTTAGTACCTACTATAACTACTTTACCGTGGTAAGGTCCGAGGTATCTTGGGTGTTGTTAATGACCATGGAGGGCGGTTATCACTTGAAATCAGATGAGCTGCCGACTCGCTATCCAACTATTCATATGAGAAAATCGTCGAGTCGCGCGTGTAAGCGGCGAACCATAAAATGAATCACTCATGGCGACACGACAGTGGCACATTGTAAATAAAAATCAAAGTGTTGCGTCATCAAGGAAAAATATTGTGCCGCAAAAGTACGCTTAGATGGTACACAGGTTCTTTGCTTGGCGTCTTCTTATGTTTACACAAAACCAAATTTATCGTGAGCCAAAAGGCATAGCGGTTCTGACTGCTCGTTTTCGAAGTCAAAGATAAATTCATTTTGTTTAATTAGACTGTGTTCGGGCGGTCAGTTCTAAATGTACAATACTCGAACAGCTAGAGTTAAATTACAGATACCGGCACTAATGAAATAAATACAATTGTAACTACTGATTTCCTTCATCGATCTGGGTTTAAGAAATAGTAAAACAGTTTAAGCTTGGATTATGGAACACGCTAGATAGGGAACGACAGACACGTGACACTGTGATCGTAATGACCCTTTAAAACATAGGATACATTATATTTAAACAAAAATAAGTATAATGAATACCGTTGCATATTTGGCAGGAACACAGGTCAGAGTCTGAACGCTGGGTTTTATTACGTTATAATCTAGCAACCTGAGTTCAAAACCTTGTGCCTGCCCCATTGAAATTGTTAATTGCAATATAAAGTTTTCTACGTGAGAAGGTTGCCTGTTAAGTGACAACCGGCCCTGGACATTCGCAACACCCGTAGGGATGCGTTGCCACCTCTAAATAAAGTGAGCTGACGAGACGAAACGCAGATGTATAACACTTCCACCTAAAACCAGTCCTCTGTGAGGCCGTGGTACTTCCCCGGACCTGCCTATTCGTGCAACAGCTAACACTATCACGAGGCCCTACCACAGTGGCTTATAGCGCGCTCATCGGTGAAAGAAATCCTGTTTCGTGGCAGTCTGGGCAGGCCTAAGTTCTGCAGCTGACTCGGACAGACTGGAATTATGATGACGACGAAGATGATGACAGACAGAAGCAAGCAATATTCTTTGCAAGTGATATCTGACCTAAAAATTCGTTAGTAACGCATTTCAATTATGGGCTCCGAGTAACGCGTTTTGACGCAGTATCGCGATTCCTGCGGATTGTTCGACCTGTGTCGATATCGGCGTTTGGTGCGTTTGAGCGGATATTGACAGTTAGGTGACGATAAATAATTCAATGGGCCCGCCGACGGGCGTCAGCGGAAGGCGTATCGCAAGTTGCCTCTAGGGACCGATCATATTCATCAGCTATGTCCGCGCCATGTCGAATCTGATATGTACGTCGGCACAGGTTGTAGTGATATTGGTGATACAATTGCCAATGCATGCTGGTTGGATCACCAGGTGGCAAAAAATTGTGTGCTCAATAAGATTGTTCCGAATCCGTGATACCAAGTTTGCGAAACCTTCCACGGGAGTTGCGATGGTGACAATTATGAGACTAAATGTATCAACGGAATGACAGTCTAGACTTTTTACGGTGTTATGGCCACGCAGCAGCCTCGGCTGGTGCACGAATGGCCAAGCCCGTACGGACAAGTACCACGACCTCACAGAAGACCGGCGTAAAGTGGAAGTATAACAAATACTTTCGCGTTTCGTCTGGTAAGTGAGGTAGCCGGAGCCCAATTTTCAAAAGGTTGTCAACGCATCTGTAACCCTTGGGCTTAGCAGATATCCATGGGCGGCGGTATTCACTTAACATCAGGTGAACCTTCTGCTCGATTGACAACTTTTCACATAAAAAAAATGAATTAATGCTGTCATGTTTTCATCCGGTGAGAAATCTAAGAAATATATTAATTCTATCCCAAAGACGCACCAGTAACGATCGTATACTAGACTAGCATTTTTTTAACCAAAAAACCAGCCAGTGCTTTACTCGTAATGGTAAACAAGATGTAATTTTAGAACACATTAGCTCAGCAACAACCAATTCACCCCTGCCTTGAAGACTCTCACCTTACAATCGGACGGGAAATGTGAAGCTGACAAACTGCTCCACTCCTTTGCTGTACGCATTATGAAAGAAAAAAGCCTCACATTTGAAGCTCGTTTGAGATTTTGACTAACATTTGAGGCGCGTTTAAGAATTCGACACACACTTGAGGCGCGTTCGAGGCGTTGGACTCACACTTGAGGCGCTCGGTGCGCGGGCCCCTGCAGGCGGCGCTGACTCCGCAGCACAGCTCCTTGAAGTCCACGTGGCCGTCGCAGTTCTCGTCGAGCGCCCGCAGCGCGCCCGCGAGCGCGGCCCTCGGCAGCGGCGGCGACAGCAGCGGCGAGAGACCCTCCGCGTCCAGCTGCCCGCTAGAAGCGCCGTTGCGCAGCGACCAGAAACACTTCTCCAGCTCGATGATGTCCTGCCAATATGGCGAACGTCAATGAACAATCCTTACTAATATTGTAAAGACGAAAGTTTGTATGTATGGATGGATGTTTGTTACTCTTTCACGCAAATACTACTTAATGGATTCTAATGAAACTTTACAATAATATAGCTTATACATCGGAATAACACATAGGCTATAATTTATATACATATTTTTATGTATATCTGTCTGAATGTAACGCCTTCAGCCTATTCTACGCAGAGGTAGTCGCGGGCAGCAACTAGTAAATTAATAAATTACTAAAATAAAAAAGCCTTTTATTAACCGACTTCAAAAAAGGAGGTTTTTACCCGACTTCAAAAAAGAAGGAGGTTTCCCAATTCGACCGAACATATTTTTTATGAGTGTTCGGAGATAACTTCGTCGTTTTTGAACCGATTTTGATGATTCTTTTTTGTTGTAAAGGAAATATCGAAAGGGTGGTACCATACTGATGATGGCATCACAGAGAAATCGAGGACAATGCTCACATGTTATGTATTAACAATGGTTTTTCGTAATTCCTGTTTGAAGTCATTTTTTTTTTGTTAAAAATTATCATTTCACACCTAATACAATTTAGCGTGAAGCCCTCTATTTGAGGGTGAAGGCCCCCAAAGAACCCCAGTCTCTATTTGTGGCGTTTTCTTTCCACAGTTTACCAGCCGTCGCCTCCAATGTCGTCACCCCATCTGCTTCTAGGTCTTCCTCTTTTTACCACGTCTACGTCAATACATACCTTTTTCATTATTTTTATGTGTGAAAAGTTGGCAAGCGAAGAGACGCCGCTATAATTTTTTTTTTCAATATTAGGCATGCACTGGATAGTTTTTCGACAAAAAGAATCGTACTATTCCAAAAACTATTATGTCGCTCATTGCTCAATTTTATGTTTGAAGAATGTCTTTGATCTCAGCATAACGTTTTCCTACAGGAGAGGCAATGATTTAAAGTCATATATGTATATAAAAATACGTAAACTGAATTTTTGTATAAAACTGTCATCGCGATTAGCATCTAAGTATAAGGTATCAGCATGTATTCTGTTATATAACCGTGTTGAGAATAATATTAGTTACAATAATATTATAACACTTTCTTCACTTTCGACAATAATGAATCGATACCATATGTTTTACCTATCCCTAAGTTACATTTTGCCATCCATTCATTAGAAGACGTACAGATAAAACCATATCCTTTTGCCCGTATCTAATAATCGCCAATGACCGAATAATCTAGAAAGAAACTCCCACAAACGATTTCATGCGCAATTGGTAATCCTGATTACGACAGAGCGATAAATCTTATGATAAAATACACGTACGCATTTCTGCCGAGTTGTGGATCAACGAAAAAATTCGAAAATTAAAAAAACAAAAAAAAAAAAAAAAAAAAGCTAAATTTTTTGTATGTGAGAAGATATCGCGGAGCAATTCGTTAATTTTCCTAATTCATAACCGAGACTAAAACTCGCTTGAATCGGTCCGTTGCTTTCTTATTAAGCGTAAATAATTTTAAATAGTATTTGTTGGGAGCCTTTATCGCAAAGCTTTTGCTGTGTGGCACGGTGATACAAAATGATGTACATAAAAATAATAGTCATGGGACGAAGATTTGTTGTGAAGAAGAGTTCTTTTCATATAATTGACCTTATACTAAATGTTTTCTAATGTTTTACATGCGAAAATATGTTTTTTTGTTTGTCTTTCCTTTTACCCAGCGACAGAGCTGTTTGTGCGACATGATTTTTTTGGTGTTAGAGAAGGCTGAAGAAGAAAAATGCAGTTCCGCGAAATCTAAATGGAAAAAAGCATTGACCAACAAATACTATGTTAAAATCACAAACGTTATGCGAGCTAAGATTTGTCTTTTCAATCGACTTAATTAATTCGTTCGATCTTGTTTTTTTTCACGTTTATCACCCCAAAACTCCGTCAATTATGTAACGATTTTTAAAATTATTTTTGCAGAAGGTTCGAGTTGGCTCCCATGTCCCATATCAATTTTATTGGTTTTGGATCTTGAACTCCGGAGATACGTTAGGGAACTCCACAAGATAAAATAGAAAATGTGTAGTGAGCGATATCCGTTTTGTTTCTGTTGGTAAAAATGTTTTACTTGTAACGGGTTTGTACCTAAACAAAAATCGAAACTGAATTAGAACTGACGGATGTGAGCATAAATGATTGGTTTTGTGGCGAAAATAAACAATTACAAAAAATCTACGCGAAACCGCGCTAAACATGAACTTTTTGAAGGGCACAAACTAAGGGACTAGATCTTTATATAATTAATTCTTCTGAGCGTGTGTCACTGAAATCCTCCTAAGCGGCTGGAACGAATTTTTGTGTCTTCGGGTCGATTCGAGAATGGTTTAATTTCACATTTCGGTTCACTACATTTTTCTTATAATTATTTTTATTTATTAGTTGTTGTCGGATTTAAATCGCGTGTACAGGACAACGTATGTCGGGCCGCTAGTAATTTATATAGTTATAGATGCACGAACCGTAAGTCATAACAATAATAACGCAGACAGCATACTTAGCAGGGGACGTCGAGACAAGTTGAAGAGCCAATAAAGAACTCATTGAGGACGTCGGTCGAGTGGGTATCGATTGGACGATCTCGATTTGATTCGGAGCGATTGACAAGTGACCAAAGACGGGTCAAATTGCTTATTCCGCTTTTCGTGACGATATCTCCCTGCAGTATAGTCTACGCGTGCAAGACGCACGAATACGATACACGTTACATATCGAGCCAAACAAAGAACTAATGTACGGAAAACACATCTGAATGTGTTATTTGGTAAGGTTTTGCGATACAATAGAACATTCTCAGTAATTACAATTACCTGGTGCTTGAATACCACTCCACCTGGTGGTGAACAAGAATTGATCTTAGTTGGTAATATACTGCCTCAGTAAAGACATTCTAGCTTTGTATTTCGAATAATATAACACTGGTTTCTTCTAAAAAAATTTATTTTGTTTTACTTCCATTATATATTATTTTCTTGTTATATGTATATAATAATATGTATTTCGATGTATGTACTTTTCTCACACGCTACTGACATCTTGTTTGTTCCTTCTTAATCATACTATTATATGTTGTTTAACAGTGGGATTAAATGTAAAGGACAATTCACATAGGCGGAGAGTTGACATAATTATTTATTGATAACTTGTGACAGGCACTTTAGATTGGGAACCGAGGCAACGGGCGTAAGGATACAACTAAGTATTTGCGTAAAGAAAATAACTCTATGGATGTCGTTTAGCGTCACTTTTGTTCCTGAAGTTTAGGGAGTTACCTAAGACCGTGTGGGCTACGGTAAAAGGTCGGCGGCAGGTCTGCAGCATCATGCCAGCCAGTGTTCGAACCCGCGTCTTCTCTTTTCGAAAATTTCTCCGACAATTTGCCCTCACGTTTAAATATTTATCTTTAGTAGCTTTTTTTTAATAACATTGCCCTCACTTACTGATAACAGTATCCTGTGTTGTAAGCACGTTTTACAAACATAAATTTTACGTGGACTAACACCCTGATGCGAAACAGACTGTGGGTCACACAAATAGTTGTCCCGTGTGGGAATCGAACCCACGACCCCAAATACCTCAATATTAAGCCAATAAATACCTTGGCAACTGCGCCACGGAGTCATCATTTAGCTATAGATTATCATTAAAAATATTTTCGGACATATTTTTTACACAACGTTCTCTAGTCCCAAACTAAGCAACGCTCTCACTATGGGTACTAGATAACTGATAAACATACTTAAACATAATTTTCTTTTGTAAATAAATGCATATTATACATATATAAACACCCAGACACTGGAAAAACACGATGTTCATCACACAATATTTTTCCAGTAGTGGGGATCGAACCCACACCCTCTGGCGCAGGAGGCAGGGTCACTACTCCGCACGCACGTCGTCATATCATTAAAAATAAAAGACAATCCAAAACATCTTGTTGTCTTTCTTTAATCATTATTTCAATGTTCGGAAACACGAATGATAATGACACATTACCTAGCTTTCGTGTCAGTCAGCTCATGGAAGAAGGCGACAGATGCTTATCAACTTTCGCACGATTATAAAATCAAACATAGTTTAAGGTCGATAAGGAAAATACACGTAATACTATTCGCGCTGTTATTACTCTCCTATTGGCCTATTAATTCGAGATGCAATTCATACGGGCCTCTGTCAGCGGAATTGTCAGATAAGGCGGCTACGAGTATTGCATATTGAGGTAATCGAGCGCCTTATCAGCAACAATGGCTGTGAAAATCTGACGGCAATGGGTATTCGCGTCGCTGATAAGGCCAATTATCTGTCCGTCCTTCTGTTTGTTGTTTGCGTTGGAAGCAGCTAGTGGATCTGCTCGGAAAATAGATAAAACATGACACTATGCTAAGGGTACACTGCCAGTCGACGGATGCAGGTGGCTCAGGATTCCTCAGGATCTTACATTGTAGCAGTCTGTGGAGACCTATCTTCAACATTGGACTAAATGAAGTGATGATGATGAAGTCTGTTGCAGCTTAGTGTGTTGCAGGAGTGCCTCACAGAAGACCGGCGTGCGGTGGAAGTTTTATTCTTTCGCGTTTCATCTAGTGAGTGAGGTAGCCGGGGCCATTATAAGGGATGAACACGCATCCACAACCCTTCAGGTGTGGTCGATGTCGATGTGCTGCAGTATTCACTTGACATCAGGTGAACCGCTCGCTTATTCTACCATGTTTTTAAAAATGTATAAGTAATGATACCACATTTTTGATCACAATAATCACACATTAAAGAAAAATCAAGAAGAAACTTGGACAAAAAGCACCTTTGAGAAATAATATATGCACAGAAAACAATAAAGTACTAACAGGGAGCTGGACAGAGAAGCGCTCTCTTTACGTAAGCCAATTTTATAAGTTGAGTAATCGTATAACAGTATGAGTAGGACGTTGACGTGGAAAA